TTATCTTTTTTTAATATAGAGATTGTGTTCTGGCTCCCCCACTAAGAATTCCAGTGACTATTAACGAGAGCAATATCGTAAATTGTAGATGGATAATTTCTGAAATCCACTGGAAGAAAGTTAATTTCTATTACATATATATTTTATTGAACTAAGTCTGCTCAATGCATTGTGGCACTTGTATTTCACTTTTTGAGACGAGCAATTATTTGTATTTGTGGTGGGTAGGAGGTGGTGAAGCACTTACTGTTTTGCCACCATTAAAACATAATATTTTAAAAAATATATATTTACATATATTTACATATGCTATTTTGAGATGACAGAATAATTGTAGATAAAATGCATTATGCTTACACTGTATTTTTTAGAGCAGCGTCTAATAAAAAAAATATCATGATTCTGAAAAGACTTTGAAGTATAAAAAGAAATGAAGCATAACTGCTTTTGTAACCAAATCCAGGTTTATAGTAGGCCAACGTCTGGTGCTCCTGTGAATACTGGAACTAAACCTAGCCCCTGTTATGTTCAGGAATGCCAGTATTGCAAGTTGTTCTGGTACAGAAGTTGCAGAAGCGTTCATTATTTAAAATAAGAATAATTCAGTAGTTGTCAACTGGACAAGATAGAGAGATGAAACACTTCAGAAACATGATGCCAGGCATGGGGTGGGGTGGGAATGCAAATATCTGTATGATACCCATCTAGTGAATATCATACAGATCCCAAGTCTAACCTCTAATATATATGCTTATATTGATTTTAATGGGTATTAAGTATTTTTGAGGTTGGGCTTTCTGACCTTTATTCTTGAAAGCACTTGACTTTGGGAGAGATCTTACAGAGTACAACAGAGAGCATTCACCTTTTATAATCTGTTGAATAAGGGCCTAGAATGTTCAAAATGTATTTTGGGTACTCTTGTGTCACAAGGCAGACAGCCAGGTCCCTTGCAATTCTTGCAAATGTGATCATGTTCACTCTCAGTAGGTGTCAGAGAGAAGTACGTCTTCATTTTAGATTTATATTGTTCTGAATTTGCTTTTCTCAAAATCCCTGCAGATTCAGCCCCAATACTTGGTTCCCATTTAATACAGCAAGAATCTTACATACAGAAATAGAATAGGCTTGGAACTGAGAGATACGGAAGTAAACTTCTGTAAGTTTACATGTTTTATTTTGCATATTTCAGATTACTGGGAATAGATACTGCTGCAATACTTGATATACATGTGTTCTTATCTATGGAAATGAATCATAATTTACTTGAAAATGATCCTTTAGTATATTATCATACAATGGTCCTTTTAAAGTGTCAGATATATATAAATTCCATGTGGTACAAGTTAAATAGCTTGTTTTTAATATTTTATACTACGATATATTCTTATTGATGTGAAGAGTTGCCCATGAAAGCTTAATGTGCCACACATATTATATATATATTACTATGTCTAACATAACAAAACTGGGCATTATTAGCACTGTGGTTTTGTAGTCCATTTTTACAGAATTGTGTACTCTTTTTAATAAGGGAAATGACTTCTTGTCAGCTGTTCCTCAGTGTCTGAGGACTTTGGCCTCATGTACATGGTATGAAAATCATTTTTTGAAAGGCTTTTAGAAAACAAATGGCTGTAGTGCACTTCTGTTCTATCCTTTGTTTTAAAAAAATAAAAAAGGTGTAAAAACTGAGTATGTATTCTGAAGGGAACTTCTATGGAAGCCTGAGAAAGGAACTCTTAGAATACAGTAACAGTGCCAGGTGGTAAAATGGATTGATTCAAACAGATACAGAACTTCGACATGCAATTCAAAGTCAGCGAGATAAGAATGCATTTCAAAAGCTCTTACAGGAAGTTAATTCTCTGTGATTTGCTACACCCTTGGAAATACATACGTCAAGTTTCAGCCAAAAGATGGTTTTTTTAATGGGTATTGGAAGAACATTTATAATGTAACTATGAACTTTAATACAATGTATACATTCTGCTGTTCAAAGGAAAAAAAAAATTTTGGTGATTTGAAAAGGGCGTTTTATAGCATGGCCTATGTTTCAAGTGCTTGTTTAATGTATCTTAATTTTTATTTGATGTTTCAACCATCAGGATTGCATCTGTTTAATGTCATGTTACTGCATGCTGGTGACGCTACCCTGGCTGAAAAGCCCTTGCCTCTGCTCTGAAACTGTCCTTGTGAAACAAGATGCCATTCTGTTACAGCTTCTTTTATTGAAATACAAATTTTTGAAGTTTTGTATGCATTCAATTGTTTGTGATACCATTGTGCTGAAAAGCCTCTTACGCAAATTGTTTCTGGAATGTAATGGATCATGTTAAATGCTGAAGATAAAGGACTGCACTAATATGTTGTGGCGCTTTTCTTTTTCTGTAACTTTTCAGTTTCAGCTGGAGCATAGAGCAAAAGATATTACACATTGTGTAATTGCTGTCCTTGACATCTGGCTCTTGATGAAATTAATGTACTCTCTGTGTGATCATAGGTCGCACTGAGGCCCTGGAGCATGTCCAGAGATGGGTAATGGAGTTGTGAAGGTCTGGAGCACAAGTCTTATAGGGAGCGGCTGAGGGAACTGGAGTTGCTCAGTCTGGAGGAGGGAGGCTCAGGGGACATTTCATTGCTCTCTACAGTGACCTGAAAGGAGGTTGCAGGGAGATGGGGGACAGCTGCTTCTCCCAGGTAACAGTGATAGGATGAAAGGGATTGGCCTTCAGTTTTACTGGGGGAGATTCAGGTTGGATATTAAAAAAAAAAGTTCTTCTCAGGAAGAGCGGTGCTGCAGTGGCACAGGCTGCCCAGGGAGGTTGTGGAGTCACCGTCCCTGGAGGTGTTTTGAGAAATGTGTGAATGTGGTGCTGAGGTACATGGCTGGGGAGGTGTGGTGGGGGTGGGCTGGCAGTTGGACTAGGTGATCTTAGCAGTCTTTTCCAACCTTATAGATTCTATAGCTACACTCTATGAGGAGTATGTTAATCATAACAGGCTTCAGACTGGTGGATGAGTGGGGGTAATTAGAAGTTTGATTTGATTGCCAAGGAATTCCATTAATGTGACAGGGTCTGGTGGAATATTCGTAAATGAAGTTTTTATTAAAGGTGGTTAATGTATCAATATTGCTTTTTTCCCTTATCTCGATCATCTGCCCACTTTGGCTAGTTTTGATGGACTTGAGGTATGGCCTGGGCACAGATACAATGTGCTGAGACTGTGCTGAAAGCAGGATGGTTGTTGGATTCTCTTAATAATGCAAAAATAATTCCTGTTCCTCTGTCAGGGCTGCATTTGATGAGTCCTATTCTTACATTTTGTAAGCTCAGATTCCAAGATAGTATGCTGTTGCACTTCTAATTCACCACTCCACTGCTTGTGTCCTTTTAATTAAGGATGAATGACAGTGGGCCTTTGCCCCATATTGCAGTGCATACTAACTGCAGAATAGAAAGGCTCAACAGGCAGAATGGGGTTACATCAAGGAATGAAACAATTACTTGAAACCTTGAAGTACAGAGCATGGACTGAATATGGTTAAGGCCAGGCTGGGAGTATTTCTTCTACATGTGCAGTGAGTGTGCTTGGGTGGGGGAGGCTGTGAAGGGTGCAGTGAAGACTGGGAGCTCTAATGGTTAAAGGGTTTGTAAAAATGAAGCCTTTGGTTATTGATTTAATTCATTTCTCCCACCTCCTTTGGTGGGAAATTGGTAAAGGAAGAAGAGAGAGAGAAAGAAGATCATTAAACTTCAGTTTGCTGCATGGATTTGCTCAGACCTGATTGCAAATATTTGTTTACAGAGCTTGTTGTGCCTCAGCTCTGTTCCATGTAAAACTGAGACTTTGTGGAAAACTAAGGTTGGAGAGTTGAGATGACATTCATCCCCATGCTCCACACATTCAGAGAGCCCTCAGGATGCAGCCCTGGCTCTGGCAGCTCCTCGTGTCCTAGTGTTCATTGCCACCCTTGGGGACATGTCCCCACCCAGCTCGCCTCTTCTGCTGCATGTGGGGCTCCAGCTGCCTGAGCCAGACAGGTCAGGGAAATGCAAGTGATGGCTGTAGGTATGGGCAGCGAGGGCCACTGCCAGCAGTGCCCAAAGCACAACCCAGCACCCAAGACAAATGCTTGCTCCAAGCCTCACGCACACACACTTGGCGGGAGTCCAGGCATAAGACTTGGTGACATCACAGCCCGCTGCTTGGTGATGTCACTGACCAGCAGGCCCTGGCTCAGCCATGGCGGTTTCCTGCCTCCTCTGTGGAATTCCTCATGTTAGAGGCAGGAGAGCTCTTTCCCCAACAGGATGAGCCCTGCGATTTGGCACCTCCTGTAGCAGATGAGAGAAGGCTCCACAACTGCTCCCCCTGGTTTGGGTGGCTATAGCGGACCCCAACCACCAGATGTCCTTTGTCTGGTGCCCAGTTTTAACCCACAGATCTCAACCAGGTCACAGATCCTCACACCCACAGGTCACACAGACCCCAGCCCACATGCAGACTTTTCCCCTGAGCATGAGTAGCCGCGTAAGTGTGGAGTCAGCAATGTTGTCACTGACCCATTATCATGAGGAGAGCAGACTGGAAAAATACAGACTCCATAACTTTGGTGTATAAAAATTGTGCAGATCATTTTGTGCTTGCGTGTGACCTATGGAAACCCACCAGCACCCAGGTTTGCAATCCTGAAATAAAGAAGCAATGTCTCCTCTGAGCATGTGATGAGTGACTCGTTGCACACCGGGAGGCGAATCTGCTTTTAGGACAACAAAACCAGAAAAAAAAAAAACAAAAAAAAAAAAAAATCGGGGGCGCGGATGGGTTCAAGGGAAGATTGGATTGTTTGGAGCATTTGTGCGCTAGGAACAAATCATTCAGCCGCGCGAGGCCGGACCGCTTCGGAACTGCCCGTGCCCGGAACGTTCGGGCTCCGCGAGGAGGAGCAGGGAGCCGTTTGGTCGCTACACCGCGGCACGCTCCGCCGGGTCCGCCGGCTGAGATGGAGGCGCTGGCGGCGGAGTTGGGCGCCGTGACGGCGGAGCGGGCGGCGGCCCCTGTGAGCGCAGTGGAGGTGAGGGCAGCGGCGGAGGGCAGGAGGCAGGGGGAAGCCGCGGGGCGAGGAGCGGCGATTCTTCTTCGGCAGTAGGGTGACCTGAGAGTGCTGCTGGCGCCTGGGTGTTGCCCCTGGTCGGTGCTGCGCAGCACGTGGGGCTGCTGAGGTGGTCCCAGTCATCCCTCGGGGTGTTTCTGCTCGTCTGAGCTGACTTTGGGCGGTCTTTTATTCTTTCCTAAGTGACGTGAAATGTAACTACTGTCAAAAACCATTACTAGCTGTCACACATGTTTGGTCACCCTTTGGTAACCAACTTTCCCACTGTGTGTTCTGGTTGCAGGAGAAATGGAGGCTCCTACCCGCGTTCCTCAAGGTCAGTGGATGCACCGCCCCAGGCGGGAACACCCTGAGCTCTTTGTGCTTCACAGTTCTGGCAGGGTAGTGCAGTTGTTTAGGCTCCCACTGCACCCCAACACCCTCCTCGTGGTCTTTATATCAGCTCCCTGCAAACGCTGCTGTTGGATCTGCGGTTGTCTTTGTTGCAGGGAAACCCAGATCTGCATTCTGCAGAGGCTGCAGTGTGCGGATATCTCTGCTCACAAATATCAGAGCTTGGTTGAGCACCGAGATTGCTTGATTTCAGTGCTATTCTCATAATCTGGTATGAGGTAAAGGCACAGTTCTACTTAAAATGAATTGCAATAACAGGTAGTTGGCAGCTGGAAGTGAGAATGGAAAGGGGCAGAGTGTGGTGAAAGAACTGTGTGGTGAAGGTGAAGCCTATGATATACACAGGTACCTCTGCAGAACAGCAGCCACCTCTGCACCTCTCTAATCAGTTTCTGGAGGTGCTGCCCCCTTCAACCAGGCATCTTTCAGCCTGACTTAGTTAATTCCCTTCCTTCTCAGTGTACAGTCCCTGCAGCTTTTGCTTTTTTTTTTTTTTTTTTTTTTTGGATTTTTTTTTTTTAGGAAAAAAAGGGTGTTGTTGGTTCTGTGATACTACATATGGGCAAGTGCTCTTCCTACCTAGAAATCAAATTCAGATTTATTATGAGAGTCTGTCTTGTCCTTGTGTGGCTGTTCCCTTCTTTATCAACTTCCTTAACACCCCACTTCTCTGCTCTCACTGGCTTCCTCTCGTTCTGGCAGCTGCCTTTCCCAGGGTGCAGATCACTGCTTTCTCAAGTAACACAAATGGTTAGTTGTGCTACAAAAAGACAAAAGATATTTTGACGTGCAGTCACTATCTTCTGCTTATATAACTTCAGAATCTGCTTGGTGCTTGCTTTTGCATTTCCTGAGTTACTTCTCTGTTTCAGCTCTTGTGTAGACTTGGAAACATATAGTGTGGAACCAGACAGATTGTTCAGTTCTAAGAAATTTGTCCACCAAAAAAAATTTAACAGTGATTCAGAAGCATTCATAAATGCTTATATTTCAATGTCTGCCTTATATGATCAGTGTTATTAAAGCTGATGCTATTTGCTGCATGCATGTATTTTTCAGGTGAAAGGACTTGTGAAGCAGCACATAGACTCATTCAACTATTTTATCAACGTGGAGGTATGTTTTCCTGGTGGGAAGGGGCTGGCTGTTAGTAGTCAGAAAAAAAAGAAATGATTCAGTTCTTTTTTCTTTTTCTTTTTTTTTTTTCAGATAAAGAAAATCATGAAAGCCAATGAAAAAGTGACAAGTGATGCTGATCCAATGTGGTACTTGAAGTAAGCATAAAACTGGTTTCCCTATCAGGAGTAGCTTGCATAAAGTTACATGGGTTTGTTATTGACTGTGAAGTGTTTACAAGCATCAGCCTGGGCATAAATGAAGCAAAGCTCTTTCATGCTTTGCTCTTAGTTGGAGCACGTACACACAGATGCTTAAATAATAATTCTGATAAATAGAGTTAACTCTGTTGTTAACAATGCTTTATGTCACTGTCTTTCTGTAACTTAGTTTCAGGTGATGGAGGGGAATCTCCATTTCCCTTTTTGCAAAGGTGATCTGGGTTTATTTTCGTATGTGCAGTTTAAGTTTTAACTAACTATAACAGTGTTCAAATACAGTGGGTTACTTTGGGAAGAATCATTGCTTATTGTTAATCAACCTACTTTCACATCAAAGCAAATTCATTTTCTACTTGTTGTAGAACTCCTTTTCCTTCAGGTTGCCCGGAAGACATTTGGCTCGTTTTTAAGTTGTTTTGTGTTACAGATACCTCAACATCTATGTGGGTACTCCAGATGTGGAAGAAAGTTTCAATGTGACACGACCTGTATCGCCTCACGAGGTACCGATATTTGTGTCTGTGAGGGGTTCCTTGTTTGACCTCGGTAATGCCTTGGGTAACTGCTGCATCTGATTTTACTTCAAGCACAAGCGTGCCATGTTTTATGATTCAACACATGCTTGTAAAAAGAAGCTTCATATTTAAACATCACATAGTAACTCTTCCTTCTGTTATTGCCCTGACATGTGTGAATAGTTGTGTTCAGTGTTTCATGGCAGCTACATTTCGCACTGTAGATCACTTCAGACCCAGTCTTCTTTGGAAGTACATCCCTTGCAGTTTTTAAGTCTGAGTCAGATAGAGAGCAGATACAGAAATTCTGAGCAGTTGGAAGTTGATAATAACTTACAAACTGCAGCAGAACATTAGTCTTATGGACTGCATGTAAAGCTGTTTTCCCTGTTGTAAGGATGTAGGCTAACAGATAGATTGTGCGTGTCCGAAATAAAGCCTCCTGAAGAACAAGTGATGCTGTGACTGGAATTAGGAAGTTTGCTGGTTTTGGTAGAAAGTAAGCTAGCTTCTTTACATATAAGGAAGAAGAAAAACAGAGCTTGGAACATGCGTCTCTTTTTCCTGTTTATCTACATGCAGCCTATTGTCAACCTGATAGATCAGTTGCCATTTTGCATGCTTTCTTTTTTATTGTATATATTTCACACTTGAAATTGTATCTATTTCTCTATTATTCCCTTTTTTTTTCCCATGTAATGTATGTGGTTCACTTAAGCTTTCACAGAGATGTTCTGTGGTTGGGAGAGATTCTGTAAAAAAGCCCTCTACTGGTTGTTGCCTCTTGTGCATGGCCACATTGCTGTGTTCTACAATCTGGCTCAGTTCTCATTTAGCTCAATGGAAGTGTTTTAAGTAAAGCTAATAACTCAGCCATCAACAATAAATTAAATGTAATAGAGTCCACCTCATGGTTCTGACAATTTTTTAAGCTAGCATTAAATCAGTATATTTAAACATGCACAAAATGAGATGAGAAAGATTTTTCTATATGTGAATGAAATTGCATGTGAGAAATAGTGGCTAACTCAGACCTAAGAATAAGGTAATCAAAATCCTTGTCTGTTGTAAAGAGAGGTGATTGTACAGGCACAAGAAGGCAAAATAAATGCTTCAAGGAGCATATTCACCCTGAATTTAGAATAACCAACTCTTGTATCTCAAGTATTCTCACTAATGCCTATTGCTAGATATTGTTTCTTTTTCTTTCAATGGGTTATAGTGTGTTTTATGTGGACAAAGCACACACAAAGAATACTGAAGCCTTGTTTTTCTCAGGTAATACTGATGAAGTGATCTAACTCTCCTTCTTACACAGTTCTTATGTGAGTTTTGTCAACTGTACAGATGAATTTGAAGTGATTAGAAGTGAATATCTTGTCAATTACTTTTAGATTCAATGAAGTTGCCAGGAGCATAATGGGATCCAATTTCCTACAAGTCACAATTTTATATCTCCTTGTACACATCAGTATTTTATTACTAGAGAAGTTGTTTACTTTTTCATGTGGTGAGAAGGAGTAACCAGTTTGCAGTGATTCTTGAGGCTTGTTTTTCCTTACAGATGCACCCTCAGTGCGCAGTATAGTCTTAATTCCCTTATAGTAATGCATAATCAATACACAGAAAAGCTGCATAGGACCATAAGTTTATCCATCTGGATTCTGATAAATCTGCAGTTCTGGAGATCAGAGGTATAAAATGTGCAATGAGGTCACAAATGACCTTCTGTCAGTTGCTCTGTTGTGTTCTGCATATGCAGTAAACCTTGTCTTGCATGAAGATACAGGAGTACCTAAGGGTTAGCAACAGTGATAGAGCAAGTCTGAGGAGAGCAGACCAGGAAGATCAGTATAGCAGTGATTGAGTCTTGAGCAAGAGAGAGACAAAGAGAGCATGGGATGTGTTGAGACACTGTTCAGCCACCCAACCATAGGACTGCTCTGTTTTTAGTGCCGCCTGAGAGACATGACTTACTCTGCCCCGATTACAGTGGACATTGAATATACCCGAGGTAGCCAGAGGATCATCCGTAATGCATTACCCATTGGCAGGTAAGATGTCAAACTTCTGGTACTCGTTGTTATTTGCCGCTGTGTTGGGAAAAGTTTGCGTTGCAAAATAAATGCAGGCCAACCTTGCTTCCTTCTTAAGAGGCGATAGAGAAATCTTGATGAGTAGCTGTACACAGTAAGGCTCATAGGCTCCGTTACAAAATCTGTTTTTTCAAAAGCTTTTGCAAATTGGTCTCCTCCAAAGAAGGTTATTTATTAGAATTGATATAAAGATGAATGTTGCCTATGTTTGTATTGATATAAAACTAGAGGAAACTGTGTGAAAGAAAAGTAGAGCTGCAAATGTCCTTTTTTGTGAAATGGGAATAATCGTGTTTACTTGGTAGCCAAAGGTGTTTTGTTCAGTCTTTCATACATAAAATGTAGAGGTATCTGTGGGAGCAGAGGGTGAAATGAGTAAAGCAAGCTCTGGTTCCCCCAGATGAGACTAAACTCTACTTTAAAATTTATTTATTTTAGAGCCAAGGCAAAGTTTTTGGAGAAATGATGAGTATCATTTACTGATGATGTTTTCCTATCAACTATCAAATGACTTGAGGGTATTAATATTGTGAAGAACATCTGGTTTCATAAAGAAATAATAACGGGCATGAGAAAAAGACAAGCTCTTAACCATACCAAAAAAGCAAAATAGCTGGCAGTTATAGCACAGCTCTGTTTAAAGGCAACAAAGATGTCTTTTGTAGACAAGATTTTTCAAGGCCAACTCTGGATTACTGTCATTGTTTAATATGTGACTGTACCAAAGCTGGAATAGTGGCAGGAAAGAGAAGATAGGTGCTTAAAAAGCTACACTTCCTATAGTAAATATCCGTCCCATTTGTCAGTAGAACATGATGCACAATAATGCAGTTAGAACCCTGTGCTTCTGGAGGTGTCATACCGTTTATTGGTCTGAGTCATTTTTTAAAAGAACATCTAAATTTGGGTTCTTTGAGTCATTTTGTGATGTATGCAATAGGTGAAGGAAACTTCAAAAAAAGCATATATTCTCCATTAAAAAATAAAGTTATGTCGAAAGTCTGTGAAATAAGGCTGGATTGAAGGAAAAGCTTGTTGTTTGCATTTTGCTTATGTTTTAGGTACCTTAAGTGTGTTCTGTCTTGTAACTGTGATTTTCTTGCAGAATGCCTATCATGCTGCGTAGCTCCAATTGTGTTCTTACTGGAAAAACTCCAGCAGAATTTGCAAAACTCAACGAATGTCCTTTAGACCCAGGTACGTTTCCATTCAAGTTCTTTTTGAGCAGATGAATACCCCATTGCTATGGTTCTTATCACTGTGAAGTCGTCGTGGGAACTCTCAAATGTAAACCTGTAGCTAAATGAAATCATCAGGCTTTTGAAAATAACAGCAGGGGATGTTTGTGTTTGCAGACAGAGCTTTCAACCACAAAAATGATGCTCTGCAAGTTTGAAGAAGTTGGGATGTGCATATAGCGTTGTACAGAGATGTATTGTAAGGGAATAGCGATGGGGCTAGTTTGTGGCATTGAAATAGATCAGGGAAGAGAGGAAACAGAGGAATAAAACAGTATTCTCCAGAGCAGGAACCTTCATTTATTGCATTTTGTGAAGCAAGAATAAGGTGCTATATGATAACCTTGAATATGCAGAGAGGAGATGAAGGAGTTCTAACAAGCAAGATCTTGGCTTTTAATAGACTGCTTTTGAAGCACATGCTGGACTGTGCTTGCTCATGATGGGAAAATACAGTGACATACTGTTCTGTGCTGGAGGAGCGTGAGTAGACAGCTGCAATTTAAGGCAGGAATCAAACATCGCTTATGTGCGTATTCCTTAGATTGTCTTAGCTGCAACATTGAAATACATTTTTAAAAGTAATACAAAGTAAATTTCTTCCTGGAGTGCTGGAGAGTGCAAGTGAGTAAATTATGGGAGACTTACTCTTTTATAACAAGTATCTGAAATGGCCAGCTCTCTTGTGATGTCCTTGTGATACACTCTTCTGGCAGGCAATACTGTAAAATTAATAATTCTGTAACATCCTTAAATAAGCATGGTTACTTTGGAGGTTTGAGGGTTGTTTTTTTCCAACTTTACAGTGTTTAGTTTGACTGAGAGCTCTCTCTGGCCACTTTTATTCTGTCCAAGCACTTTCCAAACACATTCTTAGATCCCCAAGACTGGATTTGAACCTAGCAAAAGTTCAGTTTAGTCTAATGGAATATTTTCCTGGAAATCATAGCTTTTAGACAGTTTATTCTTTATTAAGGGAAAATTTGCTCTCCTGTGTTGTCCTTTAAATACTCACTGTTTGCTGTCTAATAATTTTTATTCAAAGATACTGAAAGAGGTGAGTAAGGTGCAGGGATACTGATATGCAAAACCTTTCTTTTCTTTTGAATAGGTGGCTATTTCATCGTTAAAGGTGTAGAGAAAGTCATCCTTATCCAAGAGCAGTTATCCAAAAACAGAATAATTGTGGAAGCTGATAGAAAAGGCACAGTGGGTGCTTCTGTTACCAGGTATGGTAGATGCCTGCAATTACATGAAGAAGATAAAAATGACAATTTGAGCATTAGTTGTTGTAGTTGAAGTAGCTGAGCAGTTTTCTCTCTAAAATAGCTTAATGGAGAATAAGTGTAAGTGTTCAGTGCTCCTCTCTTGCTTCTGTCATTTTGTATGGTCAGATGTCAGTCCCAGAATCTATTAGGAGAGCAGTCCTCTGAAAATCAGTGGGAATTGCTCATATGCTTCAGTATTCATCCTAGACTAGGAAAAGCGAATTCGAATTTTTAATATAACAAGTTGAACCTCATAATTGATGATGTATGACCTCATTTCGTAGCAAGTAACGTGAAGTCACTGCTGTGGAAATAGGGTATAACCTTTTGTTTGACTGCCTCAATCAAATTGGTGTTAAAACTTCTAAAGGCAGTTGAGAAGGAAACAAATTTTTTTTATACTTCAGAAATTGTTGAAAATTGAAAAGTAGTCTAAGTCTGGCCTTTCCTTCTCAGCTGAGTTTTATTTATCTTTTTTGCCTATTGGCAGCTGCCTGCTGGCGTAGTATAGTGCTTGTCACTGTCTGATGTCAGGGCTATTTTGTCTTTTCCTAGAGGTCTCCCACATCTCTCCTAAATGATGCAAAAAGTACAACTTAAAGTCTGTTATCTTGTTACTGTTGATGTCACAGTATCTGTGCGCAGACTGGCCTTGCTGGTTATGTCTGAACCAGGGGTGAAACCATACACAGATGCTCTTGAAAAGTGTGGGCTTGTGCATGTGTAAACTTAATGCTGGCCTTCCAGATCACAGATGATAATAGCCCACCATCTTGGAGCTAAAAGATGGTATCTGGCAGTTGTCATGTAATTTTTCAAAGAGAAAACACAATGTTAGTTCAGCTAAATGATTCCTCGAGCTTGCTAAGTTTTATGCAGAAGATTCTTGGAGTGTCAGTGCAAACTTTATGTTCCACATAATACGTTTGTTTTTTACCTTTAGTTCCACTCATGAGAAGAAGAGCAGAACAAACTTGGTTGTGAAACAAGGAAGATTTTACCTGAGGCATAACACTCTGTCTGAAGATATTCCTATTGCTATCATCTTTAAGGTAATACAACTCTTGGTTTGAAAAAATACGTATCCATGCTGTAGTAAAAAATGAAGATCGACTGCAGCTCTCAAAAGTTAATATGTACAGAAAGACATGGCATGGCTGAGAAAAAGAAAGAAAGCTTTTTTTCCCCTGGGATATTGTCTTTGTTGTTCAGCAAAAAGGAGAAAAGCACTGCTATTTTCAGTAAGGAGAGCATTGCTGTGCCAAGACAAACAGTTGCTACCCCTTCTTGCTTTGTAAAGTCTCTCTGCCTGTTGTCATGTTGCTGCAGGAAGTTGTAAAGGTTTTTTCTTTTTTCTTGCTTTCTAATGAACTGTGTTGCAAACTTACGTTAAGGGTTTCCATTTCTGGTTTTGTTTTCCCCAGAACCCCTGAGCTGCTGAGGGGCTCAGTATCTTTTGATTTCAGATGCAGTGACATGACATAGCCATGAACTGGACATATGTAACTTCCAGTCATAACCATAAGGCAACTGGTTGCTTTTAGGGAGGCCCTGCAGTTCTTAGACCAAGTCCTAAATCCTTTGAGATGACTAGTGGCTTTTATTTCTTGGCAGGAGACTCATGGAGTCTCACAGCCTTCAGAATCTGTGGTTCAGGCACACCTCTCTTCAGTGCAGTGAATGTGGACAGCTATGATAGTTTTAAAGCGGTCCCTGATGAGACCAATGAAAAGACTTGATTCAGTGCAAGAACTGGAGTGAATATGGAGTATTTGCCCTGCCAGTTGAGCTGGTGACAGAATCATGCCATGGCCCTCATTGCCTGTGAAACCACAGACTATCCTATTTTGCCCTCTGCTTGTCACTTTCGTTTTGATTCACTCAAGGATATTTGCTGCTAGAGGGAAACCGAGGGCCTTCCCCCTAGATTCACCAGCCAGCAGAAGTAACTTCTATACCTCTTTTACTGTCTTCACCTATAGTGCTTCGTGGCAAACAAGTGCTGGCAATGGGATAATTACAGAGGAAATATATTGCCAGCAGAGGTCAGCACTTGCTCACATCATCCATCAAGTTCCTGCCAGCAGTACTGCGTGCTGAAGTTTGCAGCTACAGGCTTTGTGTTACCACAGCTCTGAGTTGTAGGAATCAGCTTCCTTGTGAGAAGTGCTTTGGGTTTGGTTCTGGAATATACCTAGATAATTGGTTCTAGACATGGGAAGCAAATGTCTTATGTCGGAGGATGCTGATCACTTGAAGTGGTTAGAGAAAATCATCTGGTCTCCGTGACCAGTGTTGAAAGAGACAGAGAGACCATCTGTGGGGAGAAATGCACATAAGAATGTCAGAATTAAATTCATAACTTTTCTGTTACAGGAAAGTGTTAATGTAGCCCATAATCCATTTGCTCAAGCACCAAACAGCTGGGTTCCACCTTCACTAACAGACTTTTATTACATTTTGTCACGCCCTGCTGGTATAGATAAATACCTGACCACAGGCACGAGTAACTGCTCAGGGTTATTAAGTCTGAGGAGGTTGTGGGTTGGTTTGTGGGTTTTCTATTTTCTTTTTAGCAGCATTATACAGTCTATTTGATCACCTTCCAACCATGTGAGTTAGAGTTATTTACCTGCCTTTTCTATACTTTTAAAATTCCAGATAACTGTTGCATATTTACTTAAATGTATTTATTAAATAAGGGGTTGCAGCTGTTGGATGTTCTCACAGTAGTGCTTTTCACAGCCTTATATCGATTTGGTCCAGCAGGGAATTAGATGCACCCCTTTTAACTGTTCTGACTGCCCCATTCCTGACTAGTGCTTGATGAATTCATGAGACATCATTCTCCTTACTTTTTCTTTCAATGTTACGTGAACTTGAGACGTCTTTGTTCCATTGCTGATGATTCTCCAGCTGCAAACTAAAAATCCCAATAGTTTTTTGAATTAATTATTAAGAAGACAGTGCCTTCTGATGTTTTTCTTCTTGGTCACTGCGGAATGTAAATATAGCTTTTATTGAACTACTAGAACTCAAGTTACAAAGTCCCTGGCTCTGAAATTAGAAAATTTCTAACCAAAGGATCCCCTTGTACCTCAGCTCTCACACAGCAGTATTCCAGTATTCTGCTCAGGACATCTGTTGGAAAAACAAGGAGAGTAATTCTTTTCAGTAGAAAGGGCACAGAATGTGGATCTTACTTGTTACTAGTAAGTTTTCCTTCTCTAACGTAGAGGTTGTATCACAGTGTGCATCTGGAAGGGCTGAAGTTAAGTTGTATATACAGTCTTAGGTCTGAAGCTTTGACTGCCCATGCCTTAATTCCAAAGTGGAGGTAATAACATCCCTTAGACATTTTTATCTCAAAAGCGAGGGCTGTGAAGTAGAGAGCATTACAGATACCAATGACCAACAGAGCTGAGGACTAAAACTCAAAAAGTGCTTATTTTAACTAGAATCTAAGATCACTTTCCTGTTTCAGGCATGACTCATGGTCACATCTTGACAACGTTTTGTGGCAAGGCCTGAACGTATGATTGATGGTCAGACTGGTTGATCTTTGTGGCCTTTTCCAACCTTAATGGTTATATGATTTTGTATGTTGTTCCCACCTTTTCTTTTGTTTTATGAGGAGGGAAGGAGCATGGGAATTGCTAACTCACAGACTGAACCAATGATGGAGTACCTGGTGAAGGGGCACAGGGAACCCTGGTAGCACAGGTGAAAGTAGTTCACCTGTGTGATCAGAAGGGGTGGAACCAGCTTCCCTAAGCCTCAATTAGAGGCTGGATCCACAGGGAAATGTTCTTTACCTAGAGATCCTTCTTTCTGAAATATTTGGTGGGCCTTGATCTTTGGGATGGGTAAGCAAATCTTTCTTTCTTTAACTGGTTTGTGACCATCATCCTTTTTTGGGTAATTTAGAACTGGTTATTTGTCATCACCTTTCTATACAGAAGGAAATAGTGGTGTGGCTGTAAAGGTCCTTTAAGGTGGGTAGGTAGGGGAACCGGCCTGTGTAGGGTCGTCCTAGAAGGAGCATCTGCCTTGTAGTTCATCCTTACCCGTAGTCTGTTCTAAACTGCAAGCCTGAGTGAGTTCTTCTGCCATCCTGACCTGTAAGAATCTTTGTGATTGACATATTAGAAGATTTAGCAGCAAGTTGTGCTGAATGAGTACATATAGGCCATGGTTTTATGGAGTTTAATGCATTGACCACAACTAAATGAAATATGATAGGTTACAATGCACAAGTTCCTGAGAGTAGACTAGAACAAACTCGGAAGTATCTACTCTTTGCTTTTTGGGCACTTAGTCCTTTGTTGCTGTGCTAACACAGATATTTTTCCCTTACTTTTTTTTTTTTTCTTGAAAGAGACAGAAGCACTTGTGCAGCACCTGTATGTGTAAATGCAGTTTCTGGTTTGAAGTAGTATAAAGTGAACGATTTTGTCCCCTGAAGTATGTATCTGCCAAGATTTTCAGACTCCTTGTAGTAGAAAGCATCAGACAAAAGTAACTTGCTTACTGAATAAGGTTGCTTTATTAGTTAATATACACATGCAACCAGAGCAATATTTACAGTGTCTGTTGTTCCTGTTTTGAAAAACATCAGGTTACAGATGAGATGCTGCTGCCATTTTTGCAGGGAATTAGAGCTGTTTTAAGGTAAAGACTATTTTTGGTTTGGATGTATGGCCTGGATTGGGTAGGCTCTGGGCGCTGAAGTAAATGAAGGTTGAGTGCTGCACTAAAACCAGCTGGAGAAGGAAGAGAGTTATATGTAGCCAAGGGCGGGCTCAAAAGCTGAATTTTATGTTACAAGTTGCTGGATGAATTATCTTGAGGTTGTAGGGAGATGCTCTAAGACCTGCAGCAAAAGATGTAAACAGTGGGTTGAGTTTCATATTAAAAAAAAAAAAAAATTATGTTAGCCTTGGAGCCATTAAGATGCAACCCTGGAGGAACAGCTGAGTGGTGGTCTTGCTGGACCCGCAGAATCATGTGTTTCCATGGCTACAGTTTCATAGCTCGTATCTTTAGAATTATGAAAGCTCCAGACCAATTCTGTCTGTGATGTCAACCTTGAACTTCCCTGACATCTTTTTAATCCAGTCATCTGCCTGTCTCCATTCTGTAATTTAGCCTGATGGACTGCAGAGCTACATTCTAGGCAAGTGCCATGGAAACGCCTAGACATCATCATTAAGACACAAGCTGGGGGAGGAAGAACTGGGCTCTCACTCTTTCATGCACACTTTATCGTGTGTTACGAGTGTGTGTATCCACACATACACATACAGACTTTGTGCAACAGGATCCTCCCCAGTCCTAGGAAGCAGTTGACCCTAGTTGGAGCGCTTTATCCCACTTGAACCCAGAATAATATGAGTATTGTTAATGTTTGCTTTGACTTCTATTGCATCCATTGACTGCTAGACTTCCAACCACGCTCTTCATCATCTTTCTGCCATCTCCTTTCTAATCCCATCACTGCTCTTTCTAAGTCATCCCTTTGCATCATGTCCCTTCCTTCTGTCCCCCACTTTCCTGTGAAGTTGTTCTTTTGCAGCATTGCCTTCCAAACAAAAACGAACAAGAGAACTTGTGGCTAACTGTGCTTTAATGTTAATTCTCTTCCTGTCAGCTTTGTAGCACTTCACACATCTTTGGTGTTCGTCATGGTTTACCCCCGTGACAGTGTTCCTGTAACACAGGTAGCAACCCAAGAATGTCATGTTACTATCCTAACGATGTTATAAGTTAATTCAGGAGTGGGTTTTTGTCTGGGGGATTTGGGTTAGTGGGTGTTTTTTTTCGTTTTGTTGAGGGGTGAGTGGAGAAGATAGCCCTTGTGTTGCACTTGTCCTGAACTTACTAACAAAGAAAACATCTCATACCAGTATGTGTCTCTTGTTTGCCCCATTCACACTGCATGTAGGTGGATTTGTATGTGCAGCTCTGACTGGTTTTTTAGAACGCAGAAGAGAATACATGGATTTATTTGTAGGCTACTACATCAGCATATCTTTCTTAGTTATTTGCCCGAAATTATAGTTATTACTACTCATGAATTAATTTCTCCAGTTTGTATTTCTGTAATAATACAATATACATTATGTTACAGCCTTTGAATTTTCAAGTGAGTTTTGCTGCTGCAAATTTGAACTAGAAAATCTGTAGTGGTATGATGGTATGTCCTATTTTCATCTGTATGTTGTCCGAATTTTAATCAGACTATTTGTCAATTTAGAAGAAATGATCAACCTTTTCTAATTGACTGCAACTTTCTGTTTTTAAAGGGACAAAAGAACATAATAAAACTGCAGATTGATATTTTTCTTGGTTTTTTTCTTCCCTGCTTGTTCTGTTCACATTTCACATGATTCTTACTGTCTGGTTGCCTTCTTACCTTAAATCTGGTGGCGGGATATGGAGCAATGCCTTATCAACTTGTATTTGATGTGTTCTAGGTAAATGTGTTCCTGGTATGTGTGCCTGGAGCAGTATGAAGAATTCCCTTCATAAAATGTTCTTCTTATTAGAACTAAATGTAACAATGGTGTCAATCAAGTAGTGGTTCCTAAATTGGTTTGCTGGTTAGCTTCTAAGTTCTAGAAACATGGAAAATGACTATGGTAAAGCTTTCATGCTTTTCGTATGAGACTGACTTGCAATGGATTTTGTTTACTTCTCTGCTGAAGTGGTTTGTTTTTTTTTTTTTTTTTTTACTACTAAGTGACCTTATTTGAAAGGATGAGGTAGCATAGTTGTATCTGAAAAATAGTCACGTAAGTTAACTACAGTCATATCAGACAGGCAAATTCTGGTTCTGAGAAGTGCCTTGATATCGATGGTATGACTACCTGGTAGGAATGAACTGGGATGAACCACTCTTACCTGGTGCAGTTAACTGTCTTGATTTGACACTCAAATTTGTCTGAGATAAATGGAGTAGTGATCTGCGCTTCGCGTCAAAACTGAACCATTCTCACAGTTTTAATGGGTTGTGCTATTTTTGCACTGCTTTTAATTTCCAATAAACCACAAGGTGAAGAGAGAAAGTTCTAAGTTGAAAGAACTTCGGCCTCCTTGTTGAGAAAGAAAGAAGAAAAGAGAAAAAAGAAAAAGCTGGGTACTTCACAATTGGGGCAGCAGTTCTGCAAAGCGATAGCATTAGGTAGGCATTAGGCAAAATAACACCCCATGAAGGCAAAAAGAAGGAAAGGTATTTGTGCATTTTTGAGGAAAATGTAGCTTTTTGGGACACTGCCAGTTTTTAATGAAAACCAGAATGCAGAGTCTACATAGGCCATTATTTACAATGGTCTTTGTGGCTGGCAGTTTGAAGAACAATATGAATGCAAACGTAACTTCCTCCCAAACTTCTGAGAAACGTATTATAAGTCAACCAGAAGAGGTTTAGTGAGATTATTCTGTTTCTTGATATGGCAGAGCTCCAGACAAATGTGTGAAGGGGGAGCTTTAGCACCATCTGGAATCCACAAAGGCCTTCACTGCTGGCTGCCACCTTGAAACACTTACTGATAGAGAGATTTTTTTTAAACCTGTTAAGCGCTTTCTTAGTTTATTAAGCTTTTTCTGTGGTATAAAGCCTAACAAGGTGTCCAAGGATCACCGAAATAATAGAATGGCTTTCAAGTGGAACTGTGTAGTGAAGTCATCTTCTAGATGCAAAGAGCTGCAGAAGAGGTGTATTGTAAAAAAAATAATAATAATAATAATTCTCCAACAGGACGTGCTGTATCGTAGACAATTGCATTTGCCAAATTGCTTGTGGTAAGAGACCATGTGTAATCTTTTAAGTAATTTCACCTTCCTTTGTTGTAGATTCTGAGTTGGTTTTGGTTTTACACGTGTAGGGTTGTTACTTATTTTTCACAAAAGAAGTGTGGAATTTAACTGTTGTCTAAAGAGTGTGTGTGTGTGTGTTCCTGCTGCTTATCAAGATTTCCATTTTGGGTTCTTCCATAGCTAAAATATGTACTGCCAGTGCCAGATGGCACAGTTTCTGAGGGAAGAACTAGCTCTTGCTTAGTAGTAATGCAGACAAACAATACCAAATTAGCATAAGCAAATGTCAGTGAGTAAACATAAAGCCTGTGCTGTTTCTGTCTTTTCTTCTTTTCCTAGGCCATGGGTGTTGAAAGTGACCAAGAGATTGTACAGATGATTGGCACAGAGGAACACGTGATGGCTGCATTTGCTCCTAGTCTGGAAGAGTGCCAAAAAGCTCAAATTTTTACACAGATGCAGGTGCATCTTTTCTTTTTGCAAGTAGCCATAAAATCTAAAGATGATTATATTGACCACTTTGCTCTGTCAGCAGTCCACATACACTTTGTTTTTTTGCAGAGATAGTTTAAGCCAGGGGCTTTTAGGCAGCAGGCCCTGTCGATAGTTAGGCTTTGCTCTGAACTGCTTAACTGAAAGGAAGCAAAGTCAATAAATTCTTTGTTTTCAGAAGCCTGGGGTTATGTTGTAATGCATGTGAAAAGTAGTGACATCCTTAAATTCAGAGTGCACCTCATCGTTTTATACCTAGATGAAACTCAGCAAGTACACAAAAGAACTGGAGATGAAAAAGCCTAATGAGATAAACTAGATGTCTTTGGTATTTACACAATCTTTTTTCTTATACCTACAATCCTTACTGTAGTAATCATAATCTTTCAACACTTCCAATTCCAGATGTTATCAGGACAAGATAGGCAACACGTATGCATGTATTATAATCATAGTCGTGTTCAGTTCTTGAGATTTTTTTTGTTAGCATCACTTATGCAGTTTCTTATTTTCCACCTTGAAGTTTGTGTTGTCTGTAGCTTGTGGCTTTGCACTGATTGATTAAGGAAAGCAAAGATATGTGTGTTTTTATAGGTTACAGCTCTGATATTAACTGAAGATAATTGCTTCACTTGACAGGCATTGAAGTACATTGGAAACAAAGTACGAAGGCAAAGGATGTGGGGAGGCCCAAAGAAAACGAAGATGGAAGAAGCACGAGAACTGCTAGCATCAACTATTCTGACCCATGTTCTTGTATGTAATGGTTTCTTTCCCTGAAGTAGATCTGTGTGGTTATTTTTAGAGATGTCCAGTTCTTTCTTCTTCGTTCTGTAATGATGTCTGTATGTCTGTAATGATATAGCACCTGAAAACTTCTCACACAAAGAACTGCAGACTGTGGCATTCTGGAGCTAAACAGACTTCTAATAAAATCATACAGCTAAGGAGAGAAAACCCAGAAGTGATGTGAGACTTTAGATGCTTTTGGAGTATTTTAGATGGTGATGTTCTGTTTGGTCTGTGTTCAGCCTCTATTATTCTTTTGCCCTGCTTTAGAACATGGTGGCGTAGGAGCAACTTTGGTGCTAGTTGGGATTTAAAAGAAAAAAACATAGCAAAAACCGACCAAATATGCAAAATATTCACAATGGAAAAACATTCATTTAAGGAAAATATGAAAGTATTATTTTTTTTAGTCTTTTAAAAAAAGTGATGGCCAGAAATGGTGTTGGTTGCAATGACATCAGTCCTTTTGAAAACAAAACAGGAACTGATGGTCTTACAGAAGCTGATCAGGATGCAATAACGACAAGTTTTGAACAAACCTCTCTCATCCTCCTCACAGAAATGCTCCTATAATGCAAGAACTTTAAGTTTTATCCTGGTTAGTTTTGGGACTAAGACAGGTGGACTTCTGGAAAGTGTGATTTCAATCAAGGAAGAAGTACGGATTTGGTTTGTGTGGTCAAAATATGAAATAAGACAGCTGCAAATCTCTGTGAGAGCAACATGCTAGTGTTTGAAAATGAGCAGTAAAAAAAATGATCCTTATCCCAGATTACCCAGATTTTGACTGTGAGACAAAAGACTGTTCTATATGGAAAAATCAGTGCAATTTGTGTGGAAGAGCTTTGCTGACATGGCAGAAATGTCTTTGTTTGCTTTGTTGTGGAGATGAAGTAAATCATCCTTAAACTGAAGAAAAATATTTTAACTGAGTCAAAAGTAATCTGTTTATGAAATGCTGTACCACTGAATTATAGCCAGACACTGTCAGCTGTTACTTCAGGTCTTTACCTGTACCTGTACTACTTGCTCTGAAAGAAATGCCTCCAGTTTATTTCCATGGAAACTACAACAGATACAAAGAGTACAGTAACGCTATTTGATAGAGAACATTCTCAACTACAGAATGCTATTTTGTAATCCTTTTGTCCAGCCATGTTCTCTTGTGTTTTAAATTGGTGTCTGAGTCAGAACTGAGGAATTGGTCCTGAAGCATCAGTTTGTTCTTCATTTCTTTCATTACAGGTGAAGGAGTTCAATTTCCGTGCCAAATGCATTTACACAGCAGTAATGGTGCGCAGAGTAATTCTGGCTCAAGGAGAAAATAAAGTAGATGACAGAGACTACTATGGAAATAAACGCTTGGAGTTGGCAGGGCAGGTAGGTTTTTACTTCAGAGCTAAGGCTCTTTTGGGGTTTTGTTAGTACCTGTTTTTAAAAGAGGTATAATAAGGGGAATCCCTGCCTTCTCAACTGAAGCATTTTCCTCTGGTATTATTTTCATTAGCTTTTCTGTTTTAACTCATAGATAGGTTGTTGGGACTAATAAACTGTATCCTGACTTCTGTTCTGCCCCTCCAACAAATGAAAAGGCAAAACTGTTAATACTGCATCAGTTTTACTTCCATTGTACCTTTGTCAGTGCCAAGACTTCTGCAGTAAATCCATCCCCCCATACAGAAGCATTGTACTGAGAGAACTTATATATTAAACCAGGGCTCAGCCTCTGTGGAGAACCCAGGTTCTGCAACAGTTAGCAGAACAACTGCTTGAGCCATCTGTAATTAGGAGAAGTCCCTGTGATTGGTTATTTGTTATCAACTGCTCATCTAGCCTTTAGAGTAACATGATTAGTATGTGGTTTAAAGCCTTACTAGATACTTCTTTTCTGGCAATAAGCTCTGTTTTGAGCCTTCAAAAATGGAAGCGCAAACACTTGATTTGCTTCAGAAGCCCTTGCTGTGTTTTCTGGGTGCAGCTGTGTGCCTTCTGGTTCTGACAGAAAATGACTAGTGGGAAAAATCTTCAGCTTACTAAAGGCAGAACTAGGAGGGATTATTTGAAATTTCTGAAAATAGTAGGTTAACTTGACTGACTAATTAAAGTAGAGTGCATGGGTTTCTTTGCTTGCTGAATTTATGCATGATTGGCACCATTCTTTTGCAAGGAGGCTGGTGGCTAACGGCTGTTGGCGAAATGAAGTTTAGAAAGTCATAGAATGTTTAAGGTTGGAAAAGACCACTAAAATCATGTAGTCCAACCATCAACCCGCCATGTTTTCCTAAAGCAGTACGAATTTGCCTATTGGGTGAAGGAACAGCTTAATTATCCTGGCATGGATGTTTTCTTTAGATAACAATTGGATTTCATTGTTCTAATCTCTGTGAATTTAAGTTGGAGTTATTGCAGTCAATATAATCTGTGATTATTGATCACGCATCAGAAATCCAAACAAATATACATAATTTATCATGGGAAATTGCATTTCTGCTCCCCACGTCCTTTGCCTTGGGGTTTCTGTTGCAGTACAAATAACAATATCCATCAGTTTCTGTTCCAGTCTTATGGGAATTCTCATCTTACTGTACTTTTATTTAGGAGTACAGTGCATGTTGCCTCACATCCCTGTTTTCCTTCCCACTCACGCTTGTTCTCATCCACATGTGTGAACGCAAATACAGATTGCATGTGCACACACAGTTTGCAGTCACTTCAGAATAAAAATGTACTTTGCTTCCTAGTTGTCAGCAGAATTAGGATGGTGCTCTGAGTACAAATTAAACAATGAAAATTCTTAACCACATAGGAAAGGAATTCTTTTCTTCAAGTTAATGTGTAATTGTCCGTTAGGATTCTACTCTTGTAGCAAAGCAGAATAATAAGACATAATTTCAATATTCTAGTGGGACAAATATTTCAGTCTACAATGGATTTATTTGTTGGGTTTGTTGGGCTTTTTTTGTTTTGTTTTGTTTTTTATTTATTTTGCTTTAGCATTGTTGCTGTAAATCAATGTAATTAGTGCTCTATCATATGCTCTTGTTTAGCTGGACTGAAAAGTAGTTATTTTTCTTGATAATTTAGAGGCAGAAAATAAAGCGGAAAGAAGTTTTTACAGGCTGTAAGAAAAAGGCTTCTGCTCACAGATGTTAACAACCAAAGTTGTTTTAAATTAACTGGGAAGGGGTCTTAAATGTAGAGGATCATCATAACAAAGGCAATGCATATTTTTTCTACATCAAGGAGAGCTGCACAGGGGGGAGGCTGTAACACTTGCTTAAGAGCAGTTATGGATCCCTTGTGATATTTTAAATGCTCATTTCAAGCTGAACACTTGAATTCCTCTCTGCTGTATTATCAGTTTAATATTGTTGATTTGATTACTGACTAAGAAGTGTAGAAATCTTTTTTTTGTCAGTTTCTAAATGTTTGTGTTTAGCTAAAGTTTGTGCGGATAAAATGAGCAGTGAGGGGGTTTTGTTGTTGTTATTTTTTTCTTTTCATGCCAGCATGTTCCTGGAATAAAAATCCTGTTGATTTATAATTTGAATAAAGGAAAAAAAAGAAAAGATTCCCATGTGAGGAGAAAAACATAGCGGTCTAAACAATGCAGAGACATAAAAGGCATTGTGTTTATAAAGATGTGTGAAAACAATAGCTGCTAATTTCACACCCCATGGGACAAGAGAGTACGAAATGTGCTTTAGCTTTAGATAACAGAGTTGTATCCACTAGCCAAGCTGGTTTACAGAGCTTTCTCTTAGTCTTTCTGCCACGAGAGGCTTGGTAGGCCAGGTGCCAGCTGAGGTGTTAGCAAAACCTACCGATTTCAGGCTTAATCTTTTCACCTACCTTTTCTGTTTCCTTAATGTGTTCATTATTTGCTAAGCATTACTCTGTTCTTTGTCCTCATTTTTTTTTGTTTCTAATGCAGCTTGCTTTGTATGGGTGAGATATGGAACAGCACCAAAATCCGGCACCCTGGAAAGCAAGGGATTTCTACCCTGTGACAAAAGAATACCGCCTTGACTTCAGAGATTGGCTAATCCCAGCTGTTCTGATAATATAATTAAGGCTGCCTAATGTCTTTAATTTTGCAACCAGTTTGTGTGAAAGGGAGAATTTGGCACTCAAAAGGCTTAAACGCTAAATAGCAATCTCAAGGCGCCTAATTAGAATTCTCTGACATTAAGCTAATTGGTGAAACTGTATTTCAGCAGCTTAACTTCTTTATTAATTTTTCTTTGGATTTTCAATGAAAATCAATTGATGAGCTGTCAGTATTTTTTTTTCTTTAATATAATTTGCTCTTTAGTGATCCTGACTTAAGCAGGCTGAAAGGCCCTGGACTAACTATGAAATCCATTGAATATTATCACTGGCATTCCATCCTTTTTCTTTAATCGCCCACTCTTGACCTAAATAATGTGGTTATTGTGAGACTCTGCCTTGCCAGATAGTCAGAGCTCTTACAAACTGAGAGTCCGTGAGTGAAATTAGCAAAGCATAACACTTTTCAGACTGGCAAAGTTTGTGTACTTGGGGTTTGGCTTTATTATTTCAGAGAAGAAGGATGATGTTGTAATCCCTACAGCACGTGGAACTAGGAGACTTTGTAAAGATTTTTAAGATCAAGAAATCAAAAATGGAACTATTGTCTTTATATGTGACGTGTTTTTATCAAAAGTTTCTGCACGGAAACCTGTTGAGATTAAATGTATACCAGGATTGACCTCAAAACAGTCTGTTTTGTGTTTAACAAGACTTTCAGACATCTTAAAACTGTGCACATCCCTTTTCCCTCCATTTGAAACACATCTCTCATAATCTGATTTTTGGAGATGCCAGTGGGTTGTCCTTCCTAATATAATACTTCATGAAAGATGTTTTCATTTCTAGTTGAATTTGGCTTTAAAAAAGCTGTGACACTGCAGTGAGTCTCAGGTGACTGAGTTTCTTTTAACAGTAGTAAGAGGAAGTTGCATTGTAAAATGGTACTACAAGGATCAGGAAGGAAGAGGGTCTCCAAAACCTTCATGATGTATCAAGACCAGGTTTAAAAAAAAAAAAAATTTATTGAAGACTCTCTATTCTGAATGGAAATAGGGTTCTGTTTTTGTCAAGAGTTAACATGCAGTGACATGATCACTATTCTATATAAGGTTTTACTATTTAATGACTGCACATTAAATGCTCTTTACATCTTTCGTGTAGACTGTCTTAGTCTACTCTTAATCTCTGTGAAAGGTAGTGACAATCTTGTATTGCCTAATCATACAACTGTGTGAGTTTCTAGTAGATCTTGTCATACTTAAATGCACTGATGCTAGTGAAAATGATATTTTATAATCTATGTAGCTGCTTTACAGTGTCATTTGGCTAACACTTTGATCAGTCTGGTTGTGACATGTAAGTGGAGAAAAGCAAGTGAAATCTAATGGCCCATCCCAATGATAGTATGAAGAGTAGTTTGCATTCTTTCCAGAAGAGAAGGAGATATTAAGACTATGTTTAATGGATACAGTTATAATTCAGTTTTAATTCTTCACATAAAAAAATTAGATTGCACAACTGACACCAGGACATCTTGACTTGTGATGGCTGAATGCCTAGCTTGTTCTGCCTTACAGTGCCTTGGACACTGGGAACTACCATTTCTGGCATTTGATAGCTGCTGTGTTTTTAGTCCTCCTGACATTCGGAGTTTAAATTGCAATGCTTCTAAAGAGATGTATTGCTGTTTGTTTGGTTGTTTTTTTTTCTGACTGTTGATGGGTGCATATGCAAAGATATTGTGAAGGTCAGAACAAAAAAAAAAGATTAATAGATAGGCTTAGACTCTTCTTCTTACTTTGCTTTCTATTTTGAAATTATTAAAGTGAAACATCTGAGAAATTAAGCAAAAAAAACTTACGAGAGTAATATGTAAGAAACAAACGCTGCATTTCAGCTGACCAGAAGGGTAGAAATATCGAAACACCTGCGTTCTTCCACTTTTCCCAGACCTTAATCCAATTTTTTTTGTATTTCCAGCTTCTTTCTCTTCTGTTTGAAGATTTGTTCAAAAAATTTAACTCTGAGCTGAAAAAGATTGCTGACCAGGTAATCCCCAAGCAACGTGCAGCTCAGTTTGATGTAGTGAAGCACATGCGTCAGGACCAAATCACCAATGGCATGGTCAATGCCATTTCCACAGTAAGTACTTTTGGTTTAATTCTAATATACAAGATTTTTCCACTGTACTGAGTGCTGAAGTGGTGTAAATTTTGTTCTGATGGCTCCACTGTCTTTGGTCAAATCTATCAAAAATTGCAAAGTTCTGTCATGGACATGGCTTTTGGAATTGGATGAAAAATCGTTATTCTTCAAACCAATTTTTTATTTCCCCATTTAATTAAAAGAGGTGTTTGTAGTATCTGTGATGGAACAGTAGAAACAGACCAATTTAAAATAGAGATTGTTTATCCAACTTGCTGTCTTGTGCGTTCTGCTTTATTGTGTGGTTCGTGATATTTTTTTATTACCTAATTAAGTTGAGGCTATATCATATGTGCAAAATATGATTGAAATATGACAGGAAAAGAACACATTGTGAAGGAAAGACAATTGCTAAAAAAGAGCTCTTTGAAGAGTGATGCCTTTTTAATTATATGAGCTAGCTAGTAGAAGTAAATTTAGTGATCAAATTTGTAGCTAGGAGCCAGTATTTTTTTTGTTACGTCAATGATAGCGATACTGAACTATTTAACTGGGAAAACTAATAGACCAGATGTTACTGTAAAATGGTTGGAATCAAGTCTAATTTGTCGTGGTTAGATTTTTGCTCATATCTGCCTTCTACTAGAGTGGATATCTTCATTCATGCCAGTGGACGAGAGCAAGATGTAATTATTAACTTTGTCTCTCACCTCGCATATCTTCAAGAACAGTTTGTGTGATAATCCCTGCAATCTAGCTAGTAGCTTGTAAATGACTTTGAAATACGTGAATTTTTAATAAATTAGATCAGTGAAAGTATTTTAGTTGCTGGTAGACTGCGTGCAACTTGCTTCTTAATCTTTGGAACTCTTGAGAGGGCTTTTCTGCCCAGTACAAAACTGAAATTTTTCTTCATTTCTTGTAAATAAAATTAACTCCACAAATTGCATTTGAAACAACCTAGTCTGTTACTTACAAATCCCAGTGTTTAAAGCTTATCACTATTTAATTTTATGAGTGCCCGAAACGTAGTTAAATCTCTATAGTGCACGTACCCAAAACAGTTGACAGATTTGTTTCTCTAAATGCTTGTGCTTTCTTCTAGCTGGTGCCAGTTTTTCCATTTGGACTGACAGAGATAAATCTGCAAACTATTCAGTACATATTGTGAAGTCTTCCTTCTTCTGCTGTCTTAGGACTTTTTTTTTTTTTTGTTACTGTCACATAAGCAGTTAAACACCATCTGCTCTTAAGCACTGAAAATCATTTCTCAGGAACAATGCCCAGTGCATACTATTCAAGAGATTAAGCAAATACCATAAACATCGTTCTTGGAAACAGCAATCTCCAATCTCACCAGAATGCTTCAGTGATAGTCCCAAAGAGCATGAGATAACTTAACAGACTTGTAATTACACTAGTAGCATGCAGAATAATTCATAACACTGCTAAATCCTCTGTACACTGGTGTTCAGTGGTACTTAGTCTGTGTATCCTGGAAATACCAGAGGAGAGTAAGTGAGCAGAAATAGTACAGACCTAACTGACATTTCAGAGCCTACAAAATCATGCAGTGCCATTGAAGAAGGAATTTTGATACAGGAGTTTTCAGTAGGAAGTCCTCTATCTTGCAGCAGCCCTGACCTGTTTGGGTTGTTTTAGACAGCTTTGAAGGAGTCACTCTGACACTTCCGAAGCATAAATAATTTTTTCACATTATTTCTCCAGGGAGTGTTTTACCTCCCTTTTCTGTTGCTGAGATTTCAGTCATTTGGACAGTGCAGAAAAACTGAGTGGTAGTTCAGGTTACAATCATTTCTAGCATGAGGATAAATTACTGGTTTATTTTACTCTCCATTCATATTCTGATAATTTCCAGTCCTGTAACAGTGTCATGGTGAGTGAGTGAGAAGGATGAACAAGTAGTGAGGCCTTTTGCTGTTGGATATGATGTCTTCACCCTTTCTGCAACAAGGGAAAAAGGCAGATTCTCATGACTACTTAACCGTCTCTGTAATGTAGGCAAATAAGCCAGTATCCATCCCAATTTTTCTCGCTGTTAATCAAAAGATGAGATTATGCTGTTAATGTATAAATAAAGAAACCTAGCAAAAAGATTTCAGTGCAGTATAGCAAGCAAACTCTAAATTCTTTGTTAGCTGTGCTGGCATGAGTTTGTCAAAAGGTTGCATGGATTAGGAGGTGGCAGTCCTAGAGAAAACATTCAGGCTCTTGGCTCCCTTTGGACTGACTGGTAGTGTGACTGGGGCAAGTAGTAACAACTGGGCAAAAATGTGCTGTATCTACTGACTCAGGTACCAGGAACTCTCTATATATGGAGTATGGATCTTGAAATCAAGATACATAGTATCTAAATTTAATAGCCTGCTGAAACATTAGTTTAGGTTGCAGTGAACTGCTGGGTATTGGTAGATATTATTGTATCTACTTGCCATTTAAACGTGATTGTGTTCTAGAACATTCTCTGAACTCCTTTGTTCTAGTTGAAACCACAAGTAACACTGCCCTTGACAGTCACAAAGCGTGAAATCATTGGTATATGAATGAATCTCTTCTAGTTGATGTAAACTCACTGGAGAAGTGTGGATAGACCTAAAACCTCCCACCCTTCTTTGAAGATAAGACACATGAATGAGTCTTTTTCCTCTGGATTCTGATACCCAAAGGTTTTGAGAAAGCGCACATGACTTTGATGTCAGATTGCTTCAGTATAACCATCTGTGTTTCCTATCAAAATAAATCACAAAAAAGACAGAACTGAAGCAGGACCTACTGTAAAAGTATATTTCACACACAAAAGAAGCACCCCTTTTGTTGACATACTCAAAAAGGCCAGAAAAACTTTTACTTTTGTTAAATTTGAGCATTGATATACCTGTGTGCATGTGAAGATCAGTCTCTGTGTAATTGAAGATGTTATAGCAAAATCATCTGGAATAGCAATTCTTCTGTTTCAACTTCAGTTAGTAAGTGTGTCATAACCAGTAGTTTATATACAGATGGGTAGTTAGACAGCTGTATGAAATAAATGCCCAGGTTGGATGGGCCCTGGGCAACCTGATCTAGAGAGTGACAGCCCTGCCCACTGCAGGGGGTTGGACTGGATGAGCTTTAAGGTCCTGTCCAACACAAGCCATTCTGGGATTCTATGAAATGGGCAGTATTGGCTGTGCAAAGCTCCTGAGGTTGTTCAGTCTAAATCTTGAAAAAAGGAATGCAGTGTTGAAAGACAGATAAACTGTGATAACTGTTTTTTAAATGCTCGTTGTGTTCTACAGGGAAATTGGTCTCTGAAGAGATTCAAAATGGACCGCCAAGGTGTGACTCAAGTATTGTCCCGCTTGTCTTACATATCTGCTCTGGGAATGATGACTAGAATCTCTTCTCAGTTTGAAAAGACAAGGAAAGTGAGTGGTCCTCGATCATTGCAGCCATCTCAGTGGGGGATGCTCTGCCCATCGGACACTCCTGAAGGAGAGGTAAGGGACTTGTATGTTGCTGTCAGTATTTCTGTCCTCCTGAGCAGTGGTGGCACTGTTTGGTTTGAAGCAGTCCTCTGACAGAGGAAGAATTTTGCTGAGGAGGGTTCTTGATGAGAGAAATTATCCTTAGTCAAGTAGCACTGCTTGTTTGTCTTCTCACATCCCATCAGTTTACGTCCTGGTCCTCCTTACTATACTGTTCTCCTTTCAGAAGGGAATGGCTAGAAGCTTTGTTGAGAAATCATTAGGTTGAATTATTTTTGCTCTCTTTGCTCTGTTTTGATCTGGACAGGAAAAGGAATCCTCAACTCTTATCCCTTTGTTCTAGAATGAGCATACTGTTTTGAAATTACAATCAACCTGCAATTTTTCTGGAATTGTATTAATTTTTCAGAAACTGCTTTATCTTACCTTTAAATATGGAGCTTTTTCAACCAAATTATTGATGCTGGCAGTCTTCCTTTATATTGTTATCTTTTCATTTTCTACGTCCTGAATGGAAAGCCCTGTGAGAGCTTTGGACTTCTGGAGTAAATATGTAATCAATATGAGCTAGTCTTAAGCAGCTGAAGTAAAATTATGCTGTTTAAGATACTTAAATGCTTTTTGTTACCTATTTTGCAAATAATTGCAAATAATTTTATTGTTATTTTCAAGTCTCCACAAAGATATAGTGGTAAAATTACATTAAAATTAAGAAGTTTTGATGGATGGAGTTATAACAATCGATTCTAATAACTTAAAATTTATTAACCTAACTTCTTTTTTATTAACCTAAAACTGAATTGTTTGTACTTATTCATGTACTTTATCTTTAAAAACTATGTGCTATGACAATAAAGTGTCCAAATATTGTCGTGCTGCTGAATTTTATTTCCTTGATTTTTCTATGTAAATAATAAAGATGTTGCTTTAAAGAGAGAAAAATAAACGGTTATACATGTTTTGGTTAACTTCATATCTACAAATTGTACTTTTTATTTTTGAATGCTAAACCATTACCTTTCTGTGCAATGTAGAAAGTACTTACTTTTTTTTTTTCCTAATTTTCAATGTATTTAATTTGTTTTGTGCTTTGAATTTCTTCTGTAACTCTGTGCAGTGGCCTGAAAAGCGGCTGTTGTGAGGTGGAGCGGCTGTGTAACTAGCAATAGACTAAAGGGAATGGCAGGGGAGGTTCAGGTTGGATAATAGGAACAATTTCTTCTTAGAGCGGTGCTGCAGTGGCACAGGCTGCCCAGGGATGTGGTGGAGTCACCGCCCCTGGAGGTGTTCAGAAAACGTTTAAATGTGGTATTAAGGGACATGGTTAATGGAGAAATACTGGTGGTAGGTGGATGTTTGGACTGCATGATCTTAGAGGTCTTTTCCGACCTTAATGATTCTGTGATTCCACGAATGGATACAAGATTAAATTGTTTTTTCTTTCTTTAGGCTTGTGGTTTGGTTAAAAACCTTGCTCTGATGACTCACATTACTACAGATATGGAAGATGGCCCAATCATTAAACTAGCCAGTAATCTTGGAGTCGAAGATGTGAATTTGCTCTGTGGTGAAGAACTTTCATATCCTAATGTGTTCCTTGTTTTCCTGAATGGTAGGCAACTCTTCAGCAGTCTGACTCTGATTTGTTGCCAATTTTGAGTTACTCTTCAGAAACGCTGCGATATTTGGAGCGTGGCCAAACACAGTTGTTGTATTCCCTGTGAATTTCCCCTGTAATTTCATCAGCAAATATTTGATAGGGTTAAGCAGAGGACACGGGTCAAATGATGGCATTTATTTGTGTGTGAAGTTGTCCTCAGAACTCTGCAAATGCATATAGCTGGGATATTGAAGCTCTTTTGAGTTTCAGTACTGTTTGTATACAGGTTTGCATGAATGCATACAAATATATTTATACTCCATTACAGATTTTTTTTGTTTGGTTGGTTTTCTAGTCATTCACCAATTAGTTGACCTTCCTAAGGTGCTTTTTAAAAAGAATAATGCTCTTAAAATGATAACTTTAATTTTATAAATCCAGAGCTTCATTCACAGAATTTTTTTCTTCTTATTGCAGTCTTCATATATTTTTGTATCTATTCATGCAACTGTGTTTAAAAATAGGAAGCCAGCATTTACTGTTTGCAATATTTAGCAATGCTGTTCTCTTTAAAACTGCCTTTTAAGCAGCAACTTGCTTTGTGAATGATTATAAAAAATGAGACTTAAAACAAGCTGCATTGCTTTTCTTTGTTAGAAGAATGATTTGGCACATGTGCTTTGCTTCTGCACGCTTAAGTTCCTTTTGCAGCTGATCTTTCAGTATTTCTAATCAGCAGTTACTATAATATTAGATTCCAAAATAGTGACATGTTAAAAACTATGATTTTGTCAGCAGCATCCACTTCAGGGATTAGTATTTAAGGTCTGTCACTGTGAGTAAGTTTTCCATTTACCTTCAAATTAAACAGCAGTTATTCTTCTCAGTTACATGAAAGAAACACTTGACTAAACTGCATTCCTTAGTTCTGCTTTTCTTTAGCAATATGTTAAAGATAAGGTTCAGTGAAACCACATGCACTCCTCCTGTTTCGCTTTATGGTCTAAAGGGAAATGCCAAGCAGAAGGATTGGATTCTTCCTTCAGACACTCCATCTGTAGTATGGAGCAAGATCACTTATGTTCCAAAATGTAGATGATCTCATACTTAATGAAGCAAAACTGATCAATATAATTAGTTTCTTGTTTTAATTCTAGAAGAATCTGGCCTTGTGGTTGTCTGATTTGTTTCAAATTTAAGTATGTGATGTAAGAGGACAGAAAGTCTTTCAAGTGCATATTCCTACATTTATATCCGGCTGTCTCCCTGTGTTTTGTTTAATATGACACTGTACTAAGTTGTGTTCTATATGTTAAGATAAACTTGGTTAGATGACTCTTCAAAAATGAATTTTAGTCTTCTTTGCTCATCATGCATGAGAATACTTAGATATGTATTTTAAATATGTATACTAATTGCAAGAAGTGGGAAGTACTTCTGTACATGTTAGACACGATCAGAGTTTGCATGTGAGTGAGCCATAGAGTGGGCCATGAACTTGTTCCCTTTCTGAATAGGTAACATCCTTGGTGTCATACGTGATCATCAAAAGCTAGTCAACACGTTTCGGATAATGCGACGAGCTGGTTATATCAATGAATTTGTTTCCATCTCTACAAATCTTTCTGACAGATGTGTCTACATTTCCTCTGATGGAGGGAGATTGTGCAGGTAAGCGTCCTATCAGAATTATCTAGTAAGCACTGTTCTGTGCACTGTAAGTACACTGGGTGAAGGAACTACAGATTTAAACATAAAAACTGGTTTCAAATTCAGGGGAATTTGAGCATTTATTTTCTCCTTAAATAACCCTCATTCAAAGAAGATAGGTAGGCAAGACACATTATGTAGTCAATCAACTTCCCAAAAAAAGCCTGAATAGATTAGTTTTATCTCTATAAAGAAGTTAGAGCAAAATATTGCTTCCAGCTTCTTAAAAAAGGAAGAAGGAGAAATCAACTTGGTTGGCAACTGCAGTGATAGTCCATTTCCTTGGATTGTTTCTTTACTTCTTTTTTTTAAGTTATCAGAGTACTTAAACAAGGTACAAGCAGCCACCTCTTGGACATGATACCACTTTGTAGAATGAGAGGCTACCCTTTGCCTTCAAGAGCCATTATTTCTGGTACAAAGCTCCCTCAGGCTTGCATGTGCTCTCTGTTGTAAAAGGAAAGTCTCAAAGTTTTGGTTTAGTTCACTGCTTGCTGTTATCTAGGCAGGGAATTCATTAAATCTGTAAGGAAGGTCTCTGCCTTGAGTGCTTACACTCCTTATTGCACAGAGAGTGCCTTGATAACAGTCATGTCACAAAGGCAAGCAAAAAGGAATCGGTTGGTTAAAGAACAAGGTGTAACAGAACAAAAAAGAGATTGGGAGCAGAATGACATAAGAACTATGTGCATACGTTAGTTACAGTTGGCATTCCACCTTGTTTGTTAATTGAAATTCAGAGCATACTGAATGCTGTGTAAGGCATGGTAAAGACCCCGAAGTAGTACTCATAAATATCAGCTAATCACACCCACTCAAGACATGCAGTGGTACGGCCATATTGCATTAGCACAGAAATCACCTTACCAGTTAGGCTAATCCAGGTTTGAAAAAGTTCTGATTTGATGTGGGGTTTTTTTTATTTCCTTCCTTTCTTTTTTTTTTTAAGAGTGAGAAGTGAAATTGTGTGTATTTCCAGGAATTAACCAAATTGCTTTGTGACATTCCCCACCCGGTAATTGTTCAGATCCCCTTATTAACCATTTAAAAGTGCTCCTTAGTCTTCAAACAGTTATTTAGACTTCAGAGTGGACTCCACAAGTATCTTGTAGCTATTTGCTGCTCTTTATAAGAGCAACTTGTCCAAATAGCAACAGCCCTTGATGTTTCATTCTTGCGTGCCATCCTTTGTGCTAGGGTTTCCTTGCAATAAGGAAGCCTTCAGAAGCCCATGTGTGGTTGAAATTTATGGATTCATGTAATGCAACCAATAGTAAATGCCAGCGCTTTCTAAGTATCAGCAAAATACATTCTGCATGTGGGCATTTCAGCACAAAGTGATGACTTTCTATTGCATGGAGTTCCTGAAATATCCGTAGAACTTAATGCTATTCTTAGCTTTGTGGAATAAGGTTTAAATCTCTTAAAGCCATTGACAAAATGTGCAGGTAAAACTTAGAAAATGTTAGTTTAAAGGTTTAGAAGAGAAAAAAGATGGCTTTGTCAAAATTCAAATCTGATTTTTTTTCTGGTGCAGTTTTTTGCTACTGAAAGGACAAAAAGCCAGTTCAGGACACCTGTGTTTCAAACCAAGGTCTGAATAATTGTTGGTTGTGTCTATTTGGCTGTATCAGTTTATAAAATGGTTGATATGGCTGCAGTGTCCTGAAAGCACAAACTGTTACCCAAGTATTTGCAATTGTAATTCTTCCTTTTCCTTTTACTTGTAGACCCTATATAATTGTAAAGAAGCAAAAACCTGCAGTAACAAACAAGCATATGGAAGAACTGGCTCAGGGTTACAGGTACTCAGTTCAAGCATACTATTTTCATAATCTTTACATCTTTTTGTAAATACTATGTGGAAATTATTTAGACAGTCCATCATTTCACAGTGTTGGTTAGCCATTAAGAGGAGTGTGTTCTTCTATACATTTACATGTATAAGTTACGTGTGTAAATCAGTGTTTTGAAGGTTTTCTGTCTCAGAGTCAAATTAAGTGTAGTTGTCTTAGTTTTTCTTTGTCCTTTTTTTTTTTTTTTTGTGTGTGTGTGTGTGTGTGTGTGTGTGTGTGTGTGTGTGGTATGAAATTTGTCAATTACATGGAATAAAATCTCTCAGAGCTTCCTTTTCCCACAAGTGGAAGTTCCAGGGAGATTTCCATCTTCCTCTTGATTGAAAATGAAGTGCTTATGCTTTGCTGATATCATGGTGATGATGAATACATTCAGGATATTTTACTTTGTTGTTCAAGTAAGTATCACTGGTCAGTCAGTCTTTGTGAAGCAGCAAAATAAGGGAATTGATTGCTTGAAGATGCAGTTTTCTTTGAATACTAAAAATGCAGAGGTTTAATATAAATGAATTCTCTAGATTGTATTCCACACGTTACATTCTTTCAATATAGGCATTCTGTAATTCAATTTTTGCAGAAACATAAGAAAAGACCATACTTCCAATGTGATTTTTTAATTTAACAACAGGAATTTTGAAGATTTCTTGCATGAAGGCCTTGTTGAATATTTGGATGTGAATGAAGAAAATGACTGCAACATTGCACTGTATGAGCATACAATTAATAAGTAAGTATGCATTCAGACTAAACACTGATGTATAAAAAAAATTCATAGAGTGACTCTCCAAAATGCAAGAATATTATGTTATTATTTTTATACATGTATACTGCTTCCTTGCTAATGATTAAAACAACCCCAGATAGAAGGTATCAGTTTCCAGACATCCTTAATTATCTGTGGGATAGTTACAAAAAGTGGTTTACCTTTTGTCTTTTTTGGGAGATCTACCCCAGCTTCTAATTCTCCATAATATGGAATATTTAAGGGTATATAGTTCAATTCTCTGGAGGTAGTTTTGTTTTTTTTTAATCATTGAGCTGCTCATCATGAGTAGTTTTATACATTAGGAAGCCAGAAGGGAGATGGTTCCATTCGTTAAACAATGATATTAAGATTTTGTGATTGTTCTTTGGAAAAGTTTCTTTGTTCTTAATGTATGGGGATACTAGACAACTGGGTTACATTAAATGCCTGAAGTGTCAGGATGAGACATTCCATTTGACTTTTTGATGTACAATAGGCCCCAATAAAAATGTCTGTATCATTCTAAGTATCTTTACCATATGTTAAAGCCCATTCCTGGCACGTAGTTTTTGTTTAAAAAGATTTATTGATTATTTTTTTGGGTGTGTGTGTTTTCTGCATAGGTAAAAGACCCTCTAGCTTGTGAGTGTGATTTGAAACTCCATATAAAAGGAACATTTCTTTAAAATTTTTAAGTCCTCATATCTTTCTACTTCAGCATTGCTCTGACAACATTCTGTCAAGTAAGGCTACACATAGGAGCATATTGGTTACTTCCATGAAATATTTGATCAGTAGGTTTATGCAGAAAATGCATTTTCTGACTGTTCTGTCCTTGTCAAGTGCTCATGGAAGCTAGTAGAAATACATCATTGATTTCAGTGGATCTGGATGAGACCTTCAATTGTCTGTACCCTTTGCCAGTTGAAATGCATTAACTCTGCTAATTAAGTTGCATTGCTCATGCCCAGGCCTTGGAAGACTTCATCACTTTAAGAAATTACTCTTGCATGCTCTTGTCTGGCTTCTGTATACATGAGCAAAGAAGAGTACATACAACTGCTGTCTTCTGTGCCAAAATTAAGCAACCTCCTTACACTGTCAGAGCTAAAAAATTTAAGTTATCCTACGGCTGACTCATTTAGGAAGGTTGATGGGAACATATCATCTGAAATTATAGATTACTTAAAAATAGGAGGAGCCTGTGAGCTTCCAATGGAGAGTGTTGAAGAAATGACTCCAAGATAGCTGCCAAAAGTTTGGAAGATTCTTGTCCATCAACTTGCTTTGAGTTTAGTGTAATTCCTTGTAATTAATAGGGTCATAAGGATCTAAGCATGCACCATACAGGCACATTGCTCCTTGGTTTTAGTAATAATATTCCCTACATTTTGAGTATCCCCTGCCCCCAACATCATCTTGCATTTTAAATGGTACAACCATGTTGGTACAACTTGTTCTGATAATACAACGGATACAATCCACTATTGTGAAGTATCCCATTAACATTCCTGCTTTTGTAATGGAGGCTTCTTTTAGTTACGGTATCTTCTCTTTGCCTTCCCAATCCAATTAAGAATTTTTTTCTATTTAGCGTGTTCAATTTCTTCCTTACCCATTTGTAACTCTTATTTTCAAGCTGACAATTTTGCCTTCCTTTCTTGGTTCCATTTCTGGCAGAGGCATTTTGACTTGCAGAAATTGAACTCTTCTAAACTTTAAATTATTATGAAATGCATCCTTGGATCTAGCATCTTCTGTGGATGAAATGAGGTTGACCTCCATAGAAAAATATTTGTGCTGAACTTTACGCTATCTGAAAATCTGTATGTAAATCCATGCATTAGTACCCTCTCGAGAAATTTGGTAACTTCCTCATCAGTAGGTTCTTAAACCTCTTGTTTTATTGTGTGAAAAGCTGTTAGTTCTGTGAAGTTGCACAGAATGGGAGAGCAGTCCGTGCTTGAAGTTAACTGCTGGCTCTTAAGACTACTTTACAATTCCTTGACTGCAGTTGGCATTCTACTATTTGTGTTTTTTAAGGTAGGCTTCAATAAACATTTATAATAAACTGAGAAAAATAGCATCTACCCTCTGACCAGCAGGTGATTTTTAGGCTGCTGAAGCAGATTTGTGATTCATAGAGGTGCCTGGGATGTCAGGTGTTTTCACTAGGCTTGGTCCGTAGGGTTTCCAGTTTGTTCAGATTCAACTTTCCAGTGGTTTGTGTGTTGTTTCTGTAAGTTCCTGCTATTCTTTCTCTTCAGTGTGCACTACCAGGTTGTGCCTCAGCCTTCTTGAGTTTGTAGTGCTTTACCCCTTTATAATGTCGTTATAATAAATATTTTTCCAGTTGTTTCATTTGCAGGGTCTTAAAGTTAAGTAATCAAATTCATGTTTTCAATTCAAAAAAATTTCCAAGAGACTTTCCAGATAAGTCAGATATTAAACATGAGATTTGCGGAGTGCAGTGGATTTAGATGTGTGAGACAAGCAATGTATACCTATACATGTGCTGTGCCTAGTAACTCCAGAAATCTTGAAAGATACGCCTTGGGCAGGTTTAGTTATAATTATCTTTATTTTAAAATGAAGCATTTCCTAGTTGCTTATGTTGATTTTAAAAAACAGGCCTGCTTCAACCAAGCTTTATTGTATACTGCATCCTCAGTTGTTAGTCGCTCTGTGTGCATCCTCGCGCACACTGATTTAATTGTCTTCATTGTGCATGGAATTTCTTAAGCTCAAGCCAGGTAGAATGGATTTTTTCTTATTTCTCAGCCTTTGTACGCCTTGTCCCTGTCTTTTTATTCCTCATCAGTTGTGCCATATAGCAACGTAATTAATATCAAAATATTTGCAGAGCTTTTCAAGTAGTATTTTATTATGGCGTATCATCCATGGTGCTGGATCTGGTTTGGAAACAGATGTTTTCTTTCTAACTGATATTATATAACTGATTTTGGAAAACTAAAACTACGCTTTGGGATTTTCTTCAATACCTGAATCTGTCTTGCTTCTCTTTCCTCCACATCCCCTGTAGATTTTAGATCTCTAGAATGGTAACTTGATGCGGAGGACTCTTGTTACATGAGATGACATTCCTTACGGCATTTTTGGGACTTGCTGTATAAGCTGATGTTTTATTGTCTTGCTGAGCTCCCTCAGGTTGTTGTTACCTAGAGGCTTTTTCTCTCCTTGATGAAACTTTATTTTCCTTTAATTCATTTCATGTGGAAACAGTTAAAATTAGGAAGAAAAAAAAAAAAAAGCTAAAAAAAAAATCCCACATTGAATCCATATTTTGAAGTCTTACTGGCTTGCATTTTCCTTAGCAAAACTGAAATAAAGAGTTATGAGATACTATTAAATTAAATAACTGATATTTATATGTTTGTTCACGAGCCTTTGGTAACTGGTACCTTTTTTTTTTTTTTTTTTTTTTTTTTAAGGGATACAACACATTTGGAGATTGAGCCTTTCACACTGCTTGGTGTCTGTGCCGGTCTGATTCCATATCCTCACCACAACCAGTCGCCACGAAACACTTACCAGTGTGCCATGGGGAAACAAGCAATGGGTAAGATTAATTGATTTTTACTCCACTTTGGAATATTATGTAGTTTTTGAGGCTGTGTAGAGAAAGTTACAAAACAGAGATATTCTTTCCTGCTCAACGTTAATGTTTCTATAGGAAGGGAGATGAAGTAAGGAAGTTACTTCTAAAAAGTTCAAAAAAATAAAATAAAAAAAAGCAGTTATGCTGGATGGAGACCATATCTGTAAGTCTTAATAATTACATTTGGAGAAAATGGGGGGGCACTATTGCTGTTTTTTTGGTTTTTTGGGGGGGTAAATCATAATGACTTTGAAGTTTTCAACATAACGGAAGGATTGGCAGTCAGGTTTTCCTTTCTCTTTATGCTGCAATGTGCTATGAGTTTCCAGACAAAAAGAGATAAGAGATTCCAGACCAAAAATAAATAAATAAATAAAGCATTCTCACAAAGAGAGGCAGTGCAAAGAGAAGAGACTTCTCCTCAGTAGCTGAGCAGTTGTCTTTTAAAAGAAAAGTTAGACTGACATAATAGAAACACAGTGAGCAAATTACTAAAGAGCACACTTAGTTACTTGCCCACTTCCCACAGCAGCAGTTTAGATTCGGGGCTCTTTTTTTTCCTTTTTAAATGAAGAATGCAATATAATAATGACTTCCCAGAAAAATGGTTGAAACAAAATTGATTTATGATCAGTTAATTATTCTTTTTACAAACGTACCAGCTGATCGTTAAAGAAAAATCAAACCATTTTCTAAGTATGCAGTGGTAAGCAATTAACACACAGTATGTCCTCATTCTTCCATTCTTACTTAGCTAAGCTAGCATTAAAGCATTGCAGTCATACAGCCTGTGATCAAACCAGAGTGAGTGCTGACAAGAATCTGAGCTGCAGTACATCAGCTCAGACAGCTGCACTCAGACTGGTGCTGTACATGTGCTTGTATTGATGGTCCCTTGGAAGCTGAGTTACTGTAGAAAAAAAGCACACCACTCCTGTTAATGCTGTGCATCTGAACCTCAGCACCTTTAGTGAGCCTTTTCCAGCAGAACTAGTAGCATGCTAACTGCCTGATGCTGAACTGTCGTGGTCAGCCAACAAAATAGCAGAAAATAGAAGCAGATGTGTGTTATCCCCTTTAAATAAAATTTAAAAAAGAGAGAGGGGCGATGCAATTTTTTTTCTTACGGTTCTCCCCCATCCCATTATCTTTCCTCCCACCCCCTAGTCTCTATTTTATGACTATTAGTCTCAGAAGGTTTGGTTAGTTACCACACACAGTTAAGCAGGATCAGTGTGTACAGAAAGCCAATTCAGTATCTGTGGAGTTCTTTTGTAGTTTTCTGTGTGAAGGTTTTTTTCCCCGTTTTGTTTTGAGTGTCATTTGCAATTCATTGTCTGTGTTTTCTGAGGTTGGTGTATTCAGCTGCTTTGACCCCAGGTCTTGCACATTTAGCTCCTTGGATACAATCCTCTGACGTTTCTGCTGACGCTAGGAACACAAAAGCCATTGAATATCTTGAGCAATAAAAAAAGCTTTTGTTTCAGTTTGTTATGACAAAACACCTGACTTTAAGAATAAGCAGCTAGATAAAAGTACATTTTAAATGTTGGCACGTGACCTGAGCTTTGTTTTGCTCTGCCTGAAGTATCTGCAAGCACCCAAACTTTTCTTTAATTAGTGCTTTCTAAAAAAAACGCGCTCAGTGGTAATATGTAGGGTGTGAAACTGTTTTTCTATACAGCTGTAGATCAAATGAGATAAAAAGGATAATCCTGAAACAGGTTACATGTAGTTCAGACTTTACTTACGAGGGCATGTAATGCTGCACTACAAACCCCAAGCTTTTCTGCAGTTCTCCACCCTTCTTTCTTTCCCCATCTCACAATTGCAGACTGGCTCCAAGGTCCATGTTGCCATGTGGAGACACGTCCAAGTGCACGGTGTCACTTCTGTCTGTCCGAAACTGGGGAGCACAGCGGGGGCCCCGTGTTCAGGAGGGCCCTGTGTGCTTGGTCAGCCCTTTTTACAAATATCAGCTGTAGAGAAAGATGTGGAAGCACAAATAAAGGGAGGGTGTCCGTCAGGTTGCAGTGAGGTCTGCAATCCAGCATCCTTGATGAGTGTTAGGTGTTAAAATACGACCGTCTAAAACATATGGAAAAATATCTCTCTTTCTGAGTGGGTCATTTTGTTGGAGGACTGGGGCTGCGCTCGGTGTAGTGAGCAAAGTGGATTTCAGTGAGATGATATTGAAATGAAATCACTTTGTTTTGTCATAGACGATGTACCGTGTGCTGTACTGCACTGTCAGTTGTACTGTGAGACCGAGGGGAAGTTGTGCTGGCAAATACAGGAGCAGCTGCAAGGGCCTCAGTGGAAGGCTGACATTTGAGTGCAGAAGTAACAGCAGAAGCATAAAATCTGAGGAATATTTAGGATTAAAATACAACAATCTGTACTGTTCGAATTCCGTGTGTTGGTACAGTAATGTTTAAAATGATCAAAGGCGCCTAAGACTAGAGGTGTGATTTTAAATGCAGCTTTTCAGTCACTTCAACTTGCAGGAAATGGGTCTGTTTAATATGCTGTACCTCTGTTACTGAGAAGCGTTACACAAAAACCTAATGTGTGAAAACACCCATAGTCCTGCCAGCAGTCCACTGTATTGCACAGGCCTATCTGTGAGGGTGGCTTTGCAAGTCCGCAAAGCTGTGTGTGGTGGTTCCACCCCAAGTGTTTAACACGAGTCTGAGCAAGGAGGGAAGGCTCTGCATGTCAGTTGTAGCTCCAGCCTGTGAAAGAACAGAGAATATTTGAGGGCAAGAACACTGATGCAACTTTGGTTGGTGGGCTGAGAGCTGAAGTGCTCCCAGGTTGTGTATGGCCGGCCTGTAGGCAGGGAACTAAGCCAACAAAGCAACACCAGCTTGTGCTGTTCTTCTGGGCTTGCTGCTTTGTGGCCAGACCCAGTTCTGCAGCACTTGGGCCCTGTGAGGCAGCCCCTGTCTGGAGCTTCTCTCCCTGTCACCAGGCACCTGTTGGGGCAGTAACAAGCCAGATTTCCCCCGTAATCTTTGGGACCAACTTCTTAATCTTTCTACCTTGAGAAGAATATTTCAGATCCTGAATGTCCAGATCAATCAACACATGTAATGTGAAAGAAAATCTGTGAGCTGAGGTGGAGCTTCTCTTCAGAGTTCACTGCAGCCTTTAAAATGATTCACCTATTCTCTGTTGGTTTGTGCTCATATGAAGGACAGAATAATAGAAAATCCATGGTGAAACTAAGGGAAGTACAGAAGTATGGAAGTTCCTCTCTTGACTTGTGCAGTAATATATCCCTTTGTGCTCCTATCTCAAGTAGATTAATTTCTGTATTTATGTTAATTTTGGTTGTTAAATTTAATCTTGCTATAAGTAATACACCAGAGGATTGGATAAATGTGTATTCTAGCTGGCTGTATGTTCTATCCCTTTGATCATTTTTGTGGCCCTCCTCTGGATGTGCTCCTACAGGTCCTTGTCTCTCCTGTACTGAAGACTTCACACCTGGACACAGTGCTCCTAGTGAGGCTTCACCAGTGCAGAGCAGAGGGGCAAGATCCCTTGTACTGTTGGCCACACTTCTTTTGATGTGCTCAGGATACAGATGGCTTTCTGAGCTGTGAGGATGCATTGCTGGCTCCTGTCCAGTTTGCCACTGACCAGCACCCCGAGTCTTTTTTGGAAGGGCTGTCCTCAATCCTTTCATCCCCCATCCTTGTATTGATAGTGGGGGGGTTGCACCTGGGTTGAGGGCCAGGTGCAAGTCCCTACATTTGGATTTGTTGAACCTCATGAGGTTCACCTGGACCCACTGCTCAAGCCTGTGTAGGTCCCTCTGAGTGGCATCCCATCCCTCAGGTGTTTGATCATTTTACTTGTGTTCTTGAATCATTCTCTACTAACATTTCTTTCCTGCTAGGATATCGACTACTTGGTCTACATGTACATTTTCCATTTGATATGCTACAACACTCAGCTCTGAAAATTACCTGAATACTTTATTACTGAGGCTCAGAATCTCAGTAATGTCAGTTCTGGTCTGAGATAAGCAGTAACAGCTGAACCTTTGAAACACATGAAGCATTGTTATTCTGGCATAGACAGAATTTGAATTTGAATTGCCTGAAATATGTGAGTGTGTCATCTGTAAACCCTTAGATATAAGAGGTTACTCAGATTGTTCCTGGAGTATAAAAGAAGAAATTTAGCTAAGATCTGACACGCCAGAGGAGAAAAAAATTGCAAGCATTTCAGAAGGGAAAGTTGAGAAAGATGGTGGCATACTCAGGAGAATATTTCTTTCAACAACAGGGAAATACACCTGTCTAAAACTTTTAAGATGAGCTGTGCAGCAGATAGCCTGTCCTGAAAGCGCACATTATTCATTCTAGGTGCCAAGAAAAAGAGTGGTCTAAAGCTCCATTTTGTTTGGCAGTAGAAATGAAAACATTGTCTTGTTCTTAGGCTAGAGTAATATCAAAAGTAAGAGAGCATTCAGGTTGTAGAGCCTTATTCGGGGATTACTGGGAGAGTCTTCAGTGTTGGAAATTCCAGGCCCTGTGAGCTTGCTTCTTGCCGCGTGCAGAAAATACTGCTCTGGGGTGAACTATTTCTTCCTCTAAGAAAAAGACAGGAAAGCAGCTGTTCAGATGCAAGGGATGGGTAAAGCCTGTCAAGCATTCTAAATTGTCCCAGGTGTTTAAGAACATTGTGCTTGTGGCTTCAGGTTTAGTTCCTCGAACCAAGAAAAGTCTAGGCCTGCCAGATGGTTAGTAAGATGTTTGTTTTTGACGTTATTTGTTGAGGTATCTCCCTGTTCTCATCCCTGAGAATGGTGGTTCAGAACAGTGAGCCTAGCAGTAAGCAGCCCAGTAGGCCTTTGGAACTGCCCATGATGCTGCCTGCATTTAAATCATTGATATTCTAGATGTTTTATTTAAATGCAGACAATTGGAAATTGCGAGTATGTGCATATAACACATAAAGCCCTTAGGAGCAGCTTTGTGTTCAGCTATGTTATATGCTGGCCATGTGAAGTCTTCATTATAGTTAGGCTGCTTTGACCTTTCTTTGAAAAAAGCCACTCTTTGAAATTGCAGGAGAAATGGGAAAGGTTCTGAAAGACTTCGTTCTTTAGCACATGTACTGCAGAATATTTAGTGCTTCAGCTTTTCAGGCTATAATTTCTTAATTGCTTAGAGACGTAGCATAGTCCTGGTACAGCAAACTAATAACATACGATTGCCTTAACTTTTGTTCTGCTACACAACAGTTTATGTTTCCCTGCTGGGTGTTAATTATTTTTTCCTCAGATTTCAGGAGACACTCTGGCAGTCTGATGGGACAGGGCCAAAAATTTCAGTCTCAAGCTGGGAGGTCTATACAAAGGATTGAATTCTGAACTGTAAATTTAAAATTAATTTCATGTAAAAAGACAAATATATTGTGGGTGAACTTCTACAGTAGTCTTTCTAGCAAAGGCGTCTCTAATTCCAAAAGTAAATCAGTCTTGGCTGCTGCTAGCTGTATGCTTTGTTTGTGCTTTGTGACACTGTATCACAGGCTGCTGGTAAACTAATTATTGGCCGGAAAAAGGAAGAAAATACAAAGTAAAAGAGACAGAGATCGATCCAGAGTTCCCCTTGAACACAATGGGAGTCCTTCTATTGGTTCTGATATGAATTTTGGGTCACAGTTTCAGCTCTTAAAAAATTCTGTGGCTATTGCAACAGTAACAACAAACTTAATACTTGTACTGTAATTCGGTGTTTTAAAAGAATCTTATTTGCATTCAGTCATGGGAGACAATAGTTTGATTTCTTTTGTTTTTCTTTTTGCCTTGGTGCTTAGGTCTTCCCTTAAAAAAAAAAAAAATAATAATCTTTCTGTAAGTTTAAAATAAGAAACCTCTTGGAGGTTTATCTGAGTATAATAATGTGAAGTTGTTTTGCTTCAGTCTCTTGTATGATTTTTTTACTTTTTTCATGAGGAATTCATCTCACTATATGAAATTTCTCACTTTGTCAGTTTAGTTTCTATGCATGTTGGTGATTTTTTGCTAAGAAATGCTTTTTTCTAGGAAACCCACTGACCTTCAGACTGTTTTTTTTCTTTTATGTACAGGTACTATTGGATATAATCAAAGAAACAGAATAGATACTCTTATGTATCTTCTTGCCTATCCTCAAAAGCCAATGGTAAAAACAAAAACAATTGAACTGATAGATTTTGAGAAACTGCCTGCTGGACAGAATGCCACAGTTGCTGTCATGAGCTACAGTGGTTACGATATTGAAGATGCTCTTGTCCTAAACAAAGCATCTTTGGACAGAGGTAAGAACCACCAATTCTTTCCCGGTTCTCCACTGTGTGCTGCAATACATACTTTAATAACCTCGGTGCCTCATGGTGTTATCATATATTATATTTTATTGCTCTTACAAACAGTTACGAACAGTTTTCAAAACCACTTTGGGTGCTTTTGTTTTCTGCATGTACAGTGTCTGTAATTCCATGGTTGTAATAGTTGGGTGAAGTTGCCAATGTGTGAATAAACTCTTGAGTGTGAGTATTATAAGAACCTATGACAACTTTTGACTTCAAGTAAAAAAGGAGAAATGGTCTCTTGGGAAATATTTAGCTTGCCAAAAAAAAAAAAGGTATTGTATAAAATGTGTGTGGTACTTGCTTTCTAGATGGCTGCCTGAGACTTTCATCAGTGCTAACACAGGTCTCATAATTTTTGTCAGTAATGAAAGCAATAGATAAAAACAGATTTTTGAATGTATTCAGAAAGTGTGTGTAACGTCTAGTGTTTTGTGTGCTGTGATCTTGGTGCTCTGAGGGCACTGTAACAGTATTGCTTGTTTTCTGAGGAAAATTAATAGTATTGGCTAAAACAAAATAGTATTTATTCCGGGAGAAGTTAATTTCTTCTTTCTTTAAAAGCAGAAAAGTAAAACCAATGCACTGCATGTGTCTTTCAATGTACCGAATATTTCAATATTTCAATGCACCAAATAGAAGCTAACAAAATGAAACCTGTATTTGTGCTATTCTGGCCTGTGTCATCCTCTCCACAGATCTCAGAGCTTTATGTTAATGCTGCTGGGGGATAGAGCAGAGTTCCCTGAAAACTTGGTGTCTCTTCTCTCTCTCCTCAATAAATTCCCTTGAGAGGAGACGTAATGCAGTGTGATCAAATTGGTTTATTTTTGGGTGGCCAAAATCAGTTTCTTCCATGACTTTATTCCCCCCCATACACCCTTCCTCCCTGTTGCTAGGCAGCAATAATAGTATTCCTAGACATGTATCTTTGGCATTAATGTCTGATGCATTTAATTTATGCCTCCTTTTCTAAAACAACAACAGGCATGATTTAAAAGGGAATGTTTTCTTTTCTGGTAGACTGGTAGCATTTACAGGGCGAGCTGTGGTGCCTGTCAGGAGTTACTTGACATAATCTAACAATATAGATGTACTGTATGTGGCCACAGCCATCTTTCAAATGGACTAAAATAATGTAGGATTGTTAGAAAGCACCACTCTAGGCTGTCTGTAACTCTAAGCGTGATGGAAGTTTTGTAGTATGGCTAGTTGCCACACCTAGGGAGAAGTTTCCAAAGGTGCTGCTTCTCTCATCTAAACAAGCTGACTCTACATGTAATTGTATTCATATACATGTGTATGTATGTGTATATGTACATATAAGTCATATGTAATTCATACTTCTTGGAACTGGGAGAAAATGGAATGATTGTATGAAACACCCACTAATCACTTTCCTGGTAAGCTAGGCTTTGTTAGCTACAAGGGTGAGTGAAAGTTTGGGTCCTTTAGAACCTCCGAAAGGAAGAGGGGCTGTTCTCATCCTGTTCAAACATCTCCTCCTATGGTATGTCTGTGTGTGGACCACCAAAGATAAGAAAAATGGTGTGTGTGTGTGTGTGTGTGTGTGTGTGTGTGTGTGTGTGTGTGTACAGAGCTATAGGAGGGATTGACAGAACTTCAGAATTGGTGTGCAGTCCTGTATTTAAAAAGTGATAGCATACATGATCTGATTTTAAATTGTGCCTTTGTGCAGTGGCAAGTACGCATATTCACAATGATGAATAATCTAACTTAAAAATACATTATTTCATAGCTTAGCACGTGTTTCAGCATTCTTTTTTTTTTTTTTTTTGTTATGATAACATGTTGTAAAGACTTTTTGAACACGTTTTAGGTTTTGGAAGGTGTCTTGTGTACAAGAATGCCAAGTGTACACTGAAGCGTTACACAAATCAGACGTTTGACAAAGTGATGGGTCCGATGTTGGATGCAGCTACTCGCAAACCAATCTGGCGCCATGAAATCTTAGATGCTGATGGGATCTGCTCTCCTGGTATGTCAGACTGCATGTTTTGGCCTAGCACCTACTGGATCTGAAGTAGACATGAACGTTCTGTTACTGTTTCTTGTGTGCTTTGTTTTGTTCTTAGCGTATTTTTTTGCTTGTAGTGGACAATATTATAGAGGAAAATGTTTAAATGTTAGCCTGTGAAGGCAACGTGGTGCCTGATATTGTGGGTATGTTGGTTGTTTTTTTGATGGGAGAGCATGGGAAAGAGAGGTGCTTAAGTAGAAAATTTATACTGTAAGTCCTAACCTTTACATTGATTCACTGTTATGAAGTACTACTACTCTTCTTACATCCCCAAAATGGCAGACTTTTATTATTGTAGTTTCTTACTGGTTCCATCCATCATGGTTTTTTGTTGTTGACTTTTAAGGAGAGATTTTATATTATTTTTCATTATTAAAACCTCCTAGTGCATTGTCAGCTAATGCAGCTCCCTGAGGAGGTAAGACTTTGTCATTTTAACACCTCAAAAATATATTTTGAGGGAGAGAGGAAAACAAATACAATGGGAAATGCAATTGGGCAGGGAAAGAGAGACTAAAAGTGCTCTTGCACAACTCGTGGATGTTATGTAATGTCCAGACATTTAGGTGGAAATTTCTAAAATTAATTACAGTGTTGCTTGTTAATATTCTCCTTATGGTAAATGACCTTAGATGCCTTTTCATATTTATATTTAGACCTTGGCCATGTTCGACAGATCTTCTCAAAGTGCCCTCGACACACAACTGTTCTGATTACCAAAAAAGCTGGTTTGATGATTCCCTAACCATGCGATATTCAATAATATAACATGGCCTGCTTCCTGGATGTGTTCCTAACAGTTTGTTTTCCAGTACTCCTTATTCTGTAGCTTTGAATGTATTTCTAATATAGGTACCCAGATACATTTTATTTTATTTTCTCTTTGATGTAGGTGAAAAAGTAGAAAATAAACAAGTCCTTGTGAACAAATCAATGCCAACAGTGACCCAGACACCTCTGGAAGGAAGCAGTGTGCCACAGCAACCACAGTACAAAGACGTGCCAGTAACGTATGTTGCATCTTGACTTTCTACCTGGGGAAGGTAGCATAGAGGAAAGGTCCCACTGTACAAGGAACTCTCCTGAATATATGTGTATAGAGAGGAATCATTGAGAGAGTTTCCCAGGAGAATCCAAGAAAGAAGTGATGACACTGTGAGCAAGGAGTGGTGTCATACATAGCTTAAGCAATGGAGAAACAGGAGAGAAGCAGAACAAGTGGGAGGGCAGGGAACACATGTATGCTCAGTGAGGGAGTGCATCTCCTCCATGGAGACTCTCAGAAAACACTGACTGCTGCTCAGCTCTCATTTTTCCAGGTAGTAGTCCAGAAGATGGAGGCCTTCCTATCTCAGAGGCTGATGGTGACCGATGGTCAGCTTGCTCTGGGCACTCCAGCAGATGTTCTTTATGAAAGCACCAAATGAGTAGGAAAAGACAATTAAAAAGATTTTTTTCCCTTAGTGTCCTGAAAGATCAGAAGAATTCTGAGATGAAAACTTTGAAGTAAAATACATAAATTAGGAAGCATGCAAAGTTTTTTACTATTTAGTCGGCAGTAGCTTTGGCATGTTGATAAATTACTGGAGAGCAAGGCAAAAATTGGTGCCCAGGTCAGAAAGGCAGATAGAGCCATGCTGCACTTCTCTGTGATTCAGAACCAATAGGAAGCTGAAGATTTATTCCTACAGGATACTAATAAAGAAGTGATATAACAAGATAGTTATCAAGAGATACAGACATGCATACAGGGCTCTAAGTTTAGGTGTCATAGTTCAACCATCTCAGCTACTGGAACAACAGACAAAACAATCTCCTACATGAGATACTGAAATCTGATAGAACCTCATTCTGCATTTATCTTTTTAATTTCTGCATCTCCTGCTGCATAAACTCAGGTGATACCTGTGAAGTTCTTCCCTTTCTGTATCCCATACTGTGTTCTGCCCATCATTCGTTTCTATACCAGTACATGATATTATGTCTTCATTTTGTTCTTAAATTATTTTAGAATATTTCTTAAGCTCCTTTCTTCAGTTATAATCCTGGCTCCATTAAGGCTGCATCTCAGCCAGAAAATTAACAATAAATAGGTACTTGTTTTTAACTGATTTTGTTCGCAAATGTAAAATTCATGTTCTGTCTTCTTTTGCTAGCTATAAAGGTGCTACTGATTCTTATATTGAAAAAGTAATGATTTCATCAAATGCAGAGGATGCTTTCTTGATCAAAATGTTGTTGAGGCAAACGAGGCGCCCAGAAATTGGAGATAAATTTAGCAGTCGTCATGGACAGAAAGGTAAGCTATGTATTTAATAAAAAGAAATACATGTTGAGTATTCCCATCACATATATGCATCATGCATGTTTCAGATATTTTATGACTACAGTGGTAGAAGAAGTATTCCTTATTGGTTGAGTTTGCCTAATGGAGCAATTATGTTTCTGGAAAGAGAAGGAGGAATCGGCAAACAAAACTGTTGATATATGAACCTAGAAAGTAGTTTTTCCAAGTGTGAATTTGATTTCAGATAGATTTATCAATGAGTAAGGTGTTGAAGGAAAGAGTGAGAGGGCCTATTCTGAATAACAGAGAAGACTAGAGATGGAACGTGATCTGGGGCACCTCTTGATCTTCAAACCAAGAGCCGTAAAATAGCTTCCTACTAAGAAGCTGCTCAGTGGCATGGTGATCTCCAGGGTTGAATATTCGTTGTAAAATGAAAGTTAGAAGCTTGTTTCCCTATCTTTTGAAGATAGTAATGAAATCCCTTTGGCATGAACGGCAATAAAACATGACATGGAATATCCTCTCTGAATCTCAAAGTACTGGGGGTACATGGGAGGCGCGTAGTGAAAGAAGTGGCTGAAGATTTGCAGTCTGACCGCGAATGATTTGCGAACATGGTTTGTTCCCTGTGGTCTAAATATGGGACTGGTTTTGACTGTTAGTCACTTTTTCATCTTTGCACATGGAAAATCTAGAAATTTAGAAATTTAGCATGACCTTTTGCCGCATTGTATGTGATGTACTAAACCTGTTACCTGAATGTTGTATTCCTAGTGTGTATTTAGATCCTGCTTTGGTTTGAAATCATTGCTTAGTCTCACTGAAGGCAGTGCATCTGACGTGAGACTAAGGACTGGGGAAGGAAAGAGGCATATACACATCTCTCCTGCTACTGGGCAAACGTGATATCACCTTAAAAACTACTGGACCAGCAACAACAATAACAAAATCTGTACTTCCCTAGTTTGATTTCTGAGGAACTGGAACCACAGCATTCAGTGTTAGCACACCAACTTCTTCTATCTGGTGACACAAGTATCTGTGAGGTCTACGTGGAGCAAAGAGAGAGGAAACTGAGGAAACAGTGGAGAACACTCTTTAGATTTGAAACACACATACTTAAAACTACTTGTAGTTAATGAACTTTGCAGTAATAGCTCGGCTTAAAACTTGGGCTGCCACCTTGAAATTAAACTGGTCTTTCGCCTTTTTTCTGCTACTGTTAAGAAATGGAGATAAACCCCTCTGATGAACATTGAAATGTTTTTCTCAGTTCTATTTTCACGGTGGCTTTTAATCTAAAAACAGAAGTGATTCCCACTGTTTCCCTAAGTATCTGGGGAAAAAATACCTATGGAAGGCTTCAAAAAAGTAAATAAGAAACAGTGCATTCTTGACTTTCCCTTTAAAATCCAGTCAAGTTCTTCCACAACAGCCATATAGGATAGTTTCTGTAAGTGAGAAGGAAGATCATTAGCTTAAGAGAGAAATAGAAAGACTTGATAGTTAGCTGCTCCATTCCTTTTTTCTCTTTCATGAAGAATTCCTGTAGAATTTGTTTGAAGTAATTTTACAGCCTAAGACACAAAGGAGATGTGAAGTACGTTAAGCTTGAGACTGTTTTTATAGCAAAGCCCATTTCTTCGTACTTTCTTAAGCTTTATCTAATTGGTTTGTTCTTCTTTCAGGCGTAATGCAGCATTGTAGCTGCATGTGACAATTTTTCTTATTGGAATTTAAAAACTGTACATTATAGTTAAGAAGCTACTATGTTAATCATGACAAATATTTATCTTGCATGAAAAATGTAAGCATGTGCGGTTGTCTCCTGACTTGGGCTATCGATGCGCATCAATTGAAATAGTTGGAGAGCATTAAAATGGAACTGTTTCCCATACTGCTCCAAAAACCAAGAATAATTCTCCACAAATTGAGATTCATCAGAGGAGAAGAGGGAGAAGTGAAAGAATGACAGGAGGAAGCAGAAGTGCCAGGTTCCCTACCACTAAATGTACATAAGGCATCTCCCAGTAGAGAGAGCTTATTCTAGAGGTCTTGAAGGACAGACATTTCACTGGATATTCTTGCTCCTTGTTAAGCTCTGATATTATCTGTGGTCACATGCAGACACGATAATCATGGTAGTGGAATCACGGTATTTTCTTTAATATCCGGAAAACCTGAGAGTGTTAATAATATTTTTTCCCTAAAGTAAAATAGCTGTATGGGTCCCATTGTAATGAAAAACAACATCCTAAATGCTGTAGGGGGATTTGGGAGCATCCACAGTTACACCTGACATCATATCAGGTTAGAATGACTGATGCCCACTCCATCCCTTCTTTGGACCTGTGATGATGATAAGCCAATGTCAATTATTCAGAATGCCGAATGTCCCTTTCCACTTGCTGGGGGGGATAAGAGTGGGAACATTGCAACAGTTGTGTTACAGATTTTGCAGGCGTGTGCTTGTTAGCTGTCCAGTACATCAATCTGTAATAATCTCTTGTGATCCTGGGAGTTGGCATGTTCTAAATATTATATCCTACAGGGATTTATGCCCTTACTGGTAGCAGGCTTTTCAGTTTATTGTCTTGTAGTACTTAAGAAGAAAAAATGTTAGGAAGAGTGGTGGAAGGGAGAAATGTGCTTGGGGAGAAGATAAATACATTAGATACGTAGAAATAAATACTGACAAGAACACTGGAGCTTACTGTTTTGTGACTTCAGCATACAGTGAAGAACTGGATGCTGACTTAATGTTAGATTACAGGCAACAAAAGCTTTGAAAAGAAGGGGAAAATCTCCTGCGCTAGCTGTGTAAGCATACTGCTAGTATCATCTTTCTCTAACATCAAATCAGGGAAGGATCTGTTGTAGCAGAAGAATATAGGCAACTGTGAAACAGAAATCACAGTACTAATGGTTTAATGTTTTCTATTGAAAGAATTTTTAATTAGCCTTGAATTTGTTCTTTCTTTGTCTGAATGCAGCTGATTACCTCTTCAAGTTTAATTTGTGAGTGTTAGTTTTAAGCCCATCGTAGAGCCATTTAAACAAGTACCTCAATTTAGTAAGAAGGAGAGAAAGCAAATTACTGTCCTTTCTCTATTGTCAGTATTTTTTATTTTCTGGAGAGAGTGTATGAAGATGAGATTTGATTTCATGATATTGTGGTCACAGTTTTAAACTAATTAAATATGTATTAAATACAAGATTGCGCAAAGCTTTTTTCATGTTGGTTTTTTTTTTTCCATGTGTTCCAAATTGATTTGTATTCTGAAGGTATACTTTGTCACTGGGGCAGAAGGAAGCAGAGTAACAGAATTGGAAAGTGTCTGGGATACAACAGATTAAATCTCACAAACCAGCTTTAGCCTTTTGTTACAGAAGAGCCTTTCATTAAATACGCATGTAGATTTGGTAGGCCCCTGTAATAATTTAGATCTATGCCACTGCATCTGTATTTGCTACTTTCTTTGTGTCCTCTCCCATGTCAACACTGTATGGGCAAGGGTCACCACTTCCTGGCCTGTCCACTCTTTTCATGCAAGTCCATGCTGTAAGTGCACTTCTTCCAAACTGCCTGGAAAGCCCTCGCCTTCCCTTTGAAACTTGTCAGCAAAGTGCAGGAGAAGAAGGAAAGTTAGGCCATTGCGTTGTGTTCTGAAACCCACAGGCTAGTATGTTGTGCTATCCCAATATTCATCTTCAAACAGGATGTCACAATGAGATCTTAGGGCTGTCCTTTTAGTTTGTAAAGTCCTTAAGCTTCTAATGTTTCAGGACTAAATGTATACATACCAGAGAGGACTTATCTTAAGCTGTAGGTCTTTGCTTTAACTATATCATATCATACATTTTCCAGAAGGATAAAGAAACTTTTTTGGTGTATTATTTTGTTTTCTAATCTTGCATTCTTCAGAAAATTCACTTTCAAAGCACAGAAGCCTAAAGGATTGTTAAGCTAAAGAAGCTTCATCTGAATTCCATACAAACTAAATTATTATATTTCCAGATTTCCTCTTGCTTTGCTACAAGTCACAATGAGGAAAAAGTTGGGCTCCTTTGATGTGAAAAAAAGCAATATATCACTTCTCTGAAAGAACATTTCTCAGTCTCTCATGTGAAAAAGGATTAACACCTCCAACAAAGGTCCTGTAGATCACAGAACTAAGCAGCAATACTGAACAGTATTCCTGAGGAGTGGAAAAACTGTATTTAAGCAAGAGATTGTTTGAACTGGCAAACAGAAGCTTTTTAATAGCTGGAGATCTAAGATAAAGGATTAAACCTTTCTGAAGTATCTGCACTTAAACAACTCTAAAGACAAGGAAGCGAGTTTAAATTCATGAAAGATGGTCTTTGTTTTCCTAAATGAACCGTGTTCTTTATTGTCAAAACAAAATCCATTCACAGCATTGTCAACTACATAAACTTCATTACAATGCCATTTATATACCAAAGTCTGACCTTGCTTACTTTCTAAAATTTTTACTAGTTTGAGCATCTGCCTCATGCTTGCCTGAATTCATAGCTCAGAACAACTTATCTTTGTCCTCTCAGTGGCTGCTTTTGCACTGCATGTAGGCAGTGTGTGTAAACTGAGATGCGAGCTTTAAATCGTTGCTGGTGTCATTTTCCCACCTTATAAATCAGACTTAGTGCATTATCTCTAATAACACATAGGTGGGTTTATAGGAATTAAATGGTTAAAGCGGTATTAAAAAGAATTTGCTGTTATTGACTGCAGGAATGCAGGATGATTAGCGTTTATTGCACATTGGGGAAGGTAGGAATTTCTTACCTTATTTTAATCTTCAGAAGTTGGTTATGAGAAAAGGAGATGTCAGAATGTTGTTAAAACTTCCCTTACGGGCTTTGTTTGTTTATTTTTCACAACACCGCTGCTTGGCGTGCTTGCTTAGGAAGAAAATCATGGCATTTTTTATCTCAAGCAGCAAACAGGTAACCTTCTGACCTCTTCAGTAAATCCTCAACAACCTCTGAAATTGGGGTGATTTAGCATTTTATGGCACAGAATAAAAATCTCTAATTCTGTTTCCAAATAGTGTATCCTGAACACACATTTTATTAAGCTCTTGACTCATTCAGCCATGTGTATTTTGTAAAGTTCCTATGGTTATTGTTTTACAATAGCTGCTTCCAGAAGCATTGTAAGGGTTTCAATTAATCAGCTCTTTGTGTGCTTCAGACTATGCAAATTTATCACATCAGACCATTCAGCAGCTCATGGGAAAGCAGTGTACAAACTGTATTGTCTTCTAGCACCTCCTCTCATTTAGAGTGATGTTTTTAATAAGAAAACTAATCAAGTTTACTTATGCATTATTTATCTGTTAATTTTAATTCTGTTCTTATGTCAAATGGGATCTAGGAAGTGATACGATAGATCAGCGAATGATTTGATATTGAGCAAAGCTCGTGTGATGCGGCACTTTTCTCTCCTGGAGTTGTTTTGTGCTTAGTTAGCCATGGCAGTGTGCAGTCAGAGTTCTGATGCAGATGTACTTTTTTGCTTAACCTTATTCATTATTGCCCGTCAGTTGGTCCTTTGCCCGCAATATACAGCGCTGTGTTGTAGGTACCCCTCTTCTTCATTATATGGCCTAGCTGTTTTTTGCAGGGGTATTTCCAAACTCTGTCAAACCTGGCAGATCTAAAGTAGGCACTTTTCAGTTTGAGCTCTTTTGCCGTTCTATCATTGGAATAAACAAACAGGGACAACTTAGTAATGCAGTTCTTTTTGTCTCGCTGATAGGAGCTGGTATTACTGCTGCTTCCATTCACTTTGTCTCCTTTGCTTGCTAATGTCCCTCCTGCTGCTAGTAATTAGTTTTCTATATTAGGTTGTTTTGACTTATTTGATTATTTTTTTTTTCATTTGGCATGTGTGCATAGAGGGCACCTGACAGAGCTGGTGACAAACTTTCTCATACCATCACTGGGACCCTGCCCCCTCCCACCACCCCCAGCCCTTCATGGCTGTCAGCAGGCTGCAGAGCAGACACCGGTTCTGGAAATGGGAATATCTCCCATCAAGGAATGGAGAAAAGAGGTGGGAGAGCTCTGTGTCCTGTAGGGCCATGTGGAAGCACGGGGTGCTGGGATGCAGACAGCTGTGCATAAGATGAGGCCATCGGGAGTGATGAGGGCTGGCATTTACTGGCTGGCATACAACAGCACGGCATTTGTTTTGTCTAGAAAAGTAATTGCTGCCTTTTCTGGTTGTTAGTGTTTGATTCTGGTCCTAGAAAAGAACTTCACAGTGTTACGGGTGAGAAGAGATTCAGGCCCATCAGAATACAGCATGCAGGCTAAAACTGTATTGCTGGATTTCACATGCAGCACATGAACATGCGTGCTGGGGAGGGGGGGGAGAATGAAACCGAGTAATTTTGTTTGTTCCATATGAAAGCTGGGGAGCAGTTTTCATGTGATGTCTGAATGAATAATAATCAGGAAGTCCTACAAACCTGCAGTAAGTTAAGTACGGGTGTGAGCATGTCCTATTTATGGATATTGCATAGGGAACGGCCGGGCAGCTTGGCTGTGAAATGTAGTTGGTGTTGCACGGGACAGTGTTTGGAACTTGAGGCTGTATTAAATCCAGCTTCTGCCTTTTCTCCTTTACTGTTTTATGTGCCAGTTTCAAGTGATTATTCTACTTCTAATGGATTAATTCACTCAGTCACCTTTTTGCAGCTGCCTGGCAATGCAAAACTGGCATTTTGTTGCCCTGCTGCAAACCCCGGTACAGCAGTCGGGTCTGAAAGGGAGAAGCAGAGTCAGGAACTCTCAGAGCAGACCTGCAGGCATTAGCTGATCTCTGAAAGAGCCTCCGACAGAGAGGGACTACAAAGTGAATCAAGTTCACGTTTTGGAGTGAGTTGCAGCTGCTTGCTTTTAGAAGTTGTGTTGTGTGCAGGAAGGTGCCTTTCAGGTTTGTACATTTCTCCTTAGGAGAAAAAATAAACTTTCTTAAAACACGGAGAAGTAGAAGCTGCTCTCCATCCCGTTCTCTGCATATTTCTCTGCAATTGAATGTGCTGTACATCTGCTACCTAAACTCAGCAACTTCTTAAAATACAGACACTCAGAACCGAGGTTTCATAGCTTTCCCTTTCTTTCTTTCTTTCCTTTTTTTTTTTTTTTTCCTGGGCTATAACAGAAACTTTATAAATGGCCTAGCGAGCTTCCCATTGCTGGATTCTAAATATTTTGTTTTTAACTTCTAAGCTCATTATGCTGTCTTTGTGTTAACTTGTATTAAAATCTGTCAGCTATGACTGGTCTCATAACCACAGCCAGCGGACCAGAATAAGTTAATTATTTACTTGTGTCACTAGTGCTCTTCATCTAATGAAATGCACAGCTGTGTTAGATCTGCAGTTGGGTGTGTAGGTCCCATTGTTCCACAAGTCAGCGGAGGGTAGAAGCCGCTATGATGGAGAGCCCTCAGTTCTTTCTGCTGTTCTGCCTTTCTGTGTCGATTTCATGGATCTTTTATCATTCACTTTCACACAAAACAAACAACACAGTGGCTGTCTGCTATGGGAACCAGCGTGGCATATAAAAGGTTTTCAGAGCCTAAAGTAATTTTAAGTTAGCTAAGATTTAATTTTTGGCTTACAGGTGCCCCAGAGTCCAGATGTAGCCTAATGCTTTCTTAGAACTAAACAGGAATAAGGCACAACACAAATGCCATAATAAAGCCATAGTGAAGTATTTATGTGTATGAATGTAGGATAAAGAACTTGTGCTCACAAGAAAGAGTGGGGTTTGTTTTTTGTTTTTTGGTGTTTTTTTTTTTTTTCATTTTCAGCAAGTGGTTGCTTCTTGGTTGGGAGGGTAGAAAGGTGCTACCGCTTTATCATAATGGAACAGTGAAAATTAATTTAAATAAGTTAAAAAATAAATGGCGGCCCCCCCCCCCCCCCCACAGGCACTCTCATCCTTCTCCTCCCTCCCCCCATACTTACATTCCCGCTCTGTTGACTGCTCTTGGTGCACCTCTCCCTGCCTTGCTGCTCCCTCCTGAGCTGCCGCCGCCATCCCCCTGTGTGCTGGCGGCCAGGGCTGCCTGCTTGGGGATGTGCCCAGCACCCCCAGCCCTTAGTAGCCCCTCCACTGTGGGGCCCTTCCCAGAGTGTGACAGGCTCATCTCAGACAGCTTGTTGGCTTTTCCAGTTGTAAGGGCTTCTGGAAGAAATTGGCCGCTCAAACGGTAGCATTGGCTTGAAGGAGTATGGGCGTAAGCAGCTGCATTTTAACACCTGAAGTTGTATGTTAGATCTCTTGGTCATTTATCACTGCAGTGTTCTGATCTGCAGCATTCGACTGTAAGAATGGAAAGGAAAACATCACGATGCGTGATAGACTTTTAAGTGAGTTCTTGTGCTTCCACTTAACAGGTCACAAGTAATTTTAGAGTTTGGTGTTTTGTTCTTTTGTTTTGTCTCAGTGAGACAAAAAAAAAAAATTCCTAAAGTTACGATGTGAGTTCAGGGGCAGACAAAATACAAAGTACAACCCCTCCTTATACTGCCTGTAGTTCATCAAGAACAGTTTTTGCTCAGCAAATGAACACTACCTGAAACAATGTTGGGTTTTTGTATTTTCCCTTAATTTGCTCCAGCTTGCATCAAATGCTGACTTTATTGAGCGTTTAGTGAAGATGCACGTGATAAAGGGATTCTGAATCAGTGTTAATTTTGTTTGTCCGAAGAGGTAATGCAAGAAACCTGATTTCTTTTTTTTTTTTTTTTTCTCCCTGACAATTATAGTATCAACTCTAAAAAATAGTTTCACTTGAGATGTTCCAGACTGATGGTCAAAAGCTTCTGGTTGCATCTGAAAACTGTATCTGAAGCTTTCTTCCCTAATTGCTAGCTGACACGTCACAGGGAGCATTATGCAGGGCTATGCTAATGCAGCCAGTCCTGTCACAAGGGCTCTCTTCCAGTCTGCAGGTCCGAGCAGCGGTCACGGTAATGAATCTGGGTAAAAAGTGATCCATGAGAAAGAGAGGAGGAGAAAAACACCAAAGAAAATCTGGTGATGAGGCGTCAGCCCTGCTGGTGGTTTGCTGTTGGTGAATTGAAATATTCTCTCTTCTGCAGGGGTGTGTGGACTGATTGTTCCTCAGGAGGACATGCCATTTTGTGATACAGGGATTTGTCCAGATATCATAATGAACCCTCATGGCTTCCCATCGCGTATGACGGTTAGTGGCTATGTTGTCATTAAAGAGGCAGCATCCTGCAATAGAAAGTGAAGTTGTTAAGCCAGAAAAACAAAACTGTGCGTATGTGAGAGCCATACAGTTGCAGCCAGAATATTCTCCAGTCCTCATACCACATGCTTACCCTCTTATGAACCTTCAACCATCTGTTTTGAAACATCCTTCTGTAAAAGGAATTGGGATGTGGGCTTTTTGTTTGTGCATCACAATCATTTTGTTCTGCATCGAACTATTAGAAGAGCGACCAATTACTTCATTTAAAGTCTTTCCCTCCCAAGTGACCGTGCCCAGTAAGTCAGCTGGGCAAAAGTGAGGGGAAGAACAGAGTTTCGGTAATAGTTCTATGCCTTATATCACTGACATCTCCATGGAATTCATGCAAGCCTTGTTGTGGGGCTGTACCACGTACATCAGAACCTGACCTTTGTATGGAACCTCTCCTGATTACTTTGTATACCTCTGTGATGTTCTTCTTTGTTAGCTGCCTTCCTCCTGTTCCAACTGCTGCACTGTGGGTCAGAGTGTCAAACTCTGCAGCAGTCTCCCACAGCAGAAGGCCACACTGGATCCTGCTCACTTTTCAGACAAGCTGGAAAAAAAAAAAGGGAATGTCTGACTCTGGCACTTAAAGGGATCCCAGACCCGGTCTGCTTTTCATCCCTCACTACAGGAATACCTCCTTGTTCTCCTTGGGTTTCTTCCACTGTTTCTGTTGCACACAGTAACACAGGTTGCCATCTCAGGCCCATCACAGAACGGTTTGTGTTGGAAGGGGCCTTTGAGATATCTAGTTCCATCCCCCCTCCTATAGGCAGGGGCACCTCCCACTAGACATCTGCCTTACTAACACTGTGATTGATCCAGGTATGTTCTAGCATGTGCTGGTCAGCAGGCTGTTAACTCTGCTTTTCCTTGTAGGTAGGAAAGTTAATTGAACTCCTGGCTGGGAAGGCTGGGGTCCTAGATGGCAGATTTCACTACGGAACAGCTTTTGGAGGCAGTAAAGTGAAGGATGTGTGTGAAGATCTCATTCGCCATGGTTATAACTACCTAGGGAAGGACTATGTAACATCTGGTATCACTGGGTAAGAGTTTGCTGTGTAATTTAGCTGTCTGGGGGAGTGGGGAAATGCTGTAATGTGACTGGCTATTGTAGGAGACATGAAAATCTGCCGAGTTCTTCTGTATGGCAAAAAAGTTAAAATCAAGGTTTTCCTTCTGAGGGATTGGGAGAAAATTCAGTTTTCTTTTAGCAGCAGTTCTTGTATGTACTTGGAATCAGATGAGCATTTTCATAGTGATTCTAATAGTACTGTAAAATGTAGATTTGGAAGCAGGTGTCTGTTCCTTGAGAATATTTTTTGTGTGCTTTATTTTATTTTTCCTTTCACTTACACAATGATTCAGTCTGGCATTGCACACTAATCTGCAACCTTCCTGCTGTGCCGATGGGACTGGCTTCTGAGGCACAGAGTTCAAAGAACACAAGATAGTTTAGGAACAGGAAAAGGCCATATGGTTCCACATGCCTGCCTTCCAAAATGTATCTTAATCCCACCTTCCTGCTATTTTTATTATTCTCCAAGTCCCTTTCTTCTCAAGGAATAAGTTTGGATCTCTCCTGTAAGTTGTTTTATTTTTAATTGCTATTCTTACCAACTTATTCCATATGTTGTTTGTCTTTTGTTTCAAGACCAAAGATTTTTTACACCTTACATTCTTTGTGAAGTACTTGAATGTTTGAAAAACTTTTTGTTGATAACTCATGATTTTAACAAACATGCCTAATCTTGTTTCCCACTGAGAATAATCTTGCTCTAGAATTCTCCTGCTCCTGAACTTCAGCTTTGTACTGATTTTTGTCCTATTTAGAAACTTTTCTTTAGGTTGCTGGTATTCTCGCAGGCAAAATTTCACGTGCTTCATGTACTCTTTTTTTTATGAAATTTGGAAGCAAATATGTGTGAAAATTCCAAATACGTATGCAAATTCCAAATATCTAGTTGCATGTTGTTACTGGCTTAAATGGGTGGCTTTTGGATTAACACTCCACCATGTCAATAGGGGCTGTGACTGGGAGGTCGTCTGCTGTTTGGTTTTGCATCACATGCGTGTTTCTAGAAAGAAATGGCTGGCAGTGTGCTGAGTTTTTGTGTTAAATCTGGCTGTTAGTGAGTGCTGAAGGTGGTAACTGGGAAATGACCAAGTATTCTCAGCTGTTGCTTTCTGATCTTTAGTTGTTTGTGCTGTTCTTACAGTTGGGGCTATTTTAAAGACAGAAATCTTCACCTATTATTCTAGCTTCCAGAAATGAGTAACACCCTCTGTGCTGCTTCTAAATGTTCCTGTGTGGATGCAAAGCTCAGCATCTTAAGTGCAGTTCTGAATGCTCCTTTTACCCTGCTTGTCAGAGTCTCCGGACAGAGAGTGTTGTGCTGGGGGCACGGCTGCTGAGCAGGCCCCCACCTGCTGCAGATAGAACATCATGTGGCAAGAGTTGAGGAGCTTGTTCCTTGCTTGTCCCTTGATGCAGCAGTGCGTGGTGCTGGCAGTGCACTGCTCTTCTGTTCAGAGGGGTTCTCTGGAGGATTTTCAGACCTGGAAGCCCAAACGCATATTTTAAGGACTTGTGATTCCCAGATGGTTTTAAATTCTTCTTGTCTGTGACACGCTTATCTCTCTTAAAGTAAATATGTGCTAACTGTGAATGTTGTGTTTTTTCTTAATTCATCCAGGGAGCCTCTGGAAGCATACATCTATTTTGGCCCTGTGTATTACCAGAAACTGAAGCACATGGTGTTGGATAAAATGCATGCAAGAGCTCGAGGACCCAGAGCAGTGCTTACCAGGTACTGTACAAGGCTGGATGCAGCATTCCTCACCTGCACTCAGAAATGTGCTCATCCAACAGATGGGTGTAAAGCAGTTTATTCAGTTTATTCATCAGTTTATTTATTGATGCTTGACAAAAGATGCTGTCACCTATTGATACGCTTCTGCACAGTGGAGCTCTCACAGTGCGCTGTGGTAGGAGGTTGTTCTGAATATCCAGGTGTGCTCTGTGCTGTACAAAAACTGAGTGCTTCTCAGACTTCTGTTAGCAGTTGGTTAAAAAGCACCATGTTCTGATTCTCAGGGCACAATGTGGCCCTTCCCCGCTGGACTGTTCTTATCATAGGCATTTTAGGAGGACCAGTTCTCCCCTTTAGCAACTGTACTTTTACAAAAGAAGATACGAGTAGAAACAAATTAATTTAGATACTTCAACAGTCTGTGATACGGAGCAGGTTAATACTGATGTGGCCCAACTGTAGCACAAACCAGCATTAGCATAATATGCATCCCCAGTACACTGCACTTGGCCTTGCAAAACTTCCATTCAACTGTAAAATTTAATTTAGAGTTTTATGTGGTGATCCACAGTTTTTGTACAATACTGTGCAAGAGAACTGTGCTTTCACACTAATAAATTGCAAAGGTTACAGAGACAACAACAATAAATCTCCATTTTTACTTGCCCTGTTTAAATATGTCTTCAGTTTCTGTGGAGCTGTGTTGATTGCTCCGAGGCTGAACTTGGTTCTCTCTCCAACAAAAATGTTGATTGCTGCATTGATGTCCTCTTGGGTAAATTTTGAAGATATACACTGGGGTAAACATAACAAAAACACCTGGAGGTGGGCTTACATTCTCTGCACCTTTGGGGAGTTGGCAGCATTCTGCTTTCATTGGTGCTACTCACCTTTTCTCCTTGAGGGCAAACAAGCTTTTTTGCTCCAGCTCTAAGGCTGCTTGCACTCATGAGCTGTATTGCTGACATCCCTGTCTCACAGAAGGTGGCTCAGTGGCACAGTCTTTGTTTTGAGGAGGCTTCTAGTGAATCCCTTAGTCTAACTCTGTCCATCACAGAGGATTATCAGCTAAATCTTGCCAGACAGCTTGCCCTGTCTGCCCACACACTATGTTAGCCACTCGGTCCTCTTAACAGGTGCAGCTTTTGCCTGTCTTACATTGTTACGGAGTGGAGGTGCAGGTCTCTGCTCTACCTGATAAAGAAGCATCCTTCTCTCTTGCTTTTTGCTGCACGTTTCCCATGTATTTTAGCTCTCTGACCCCATGCTTTCTCTGGGGCAAATTGAAGTTGTCTCACACATTCCATAGAGAAAAATATCAATAGTTAAACAGGGAGAGAAAACATGAAAAACTTCTATTTCTAAACTTTGAATAGTTTTGCTGCACTTTCCTTCTTAATTTTTGTGTCATAGCTCCTTGCCAATATGATTTGGACAATTTGGATGATGATTTGTATAGTGGGAATGATATTCCCAATTACTGGTCTGTCTGCCCCATTTTCTGTGTTAGTCATACCGTTGTCCCTTCATACGAAAATGAAAACTTAGTCTCAGCTAGAGGTGCACACAGTTGTTTCACTAGAGCTCCTAGCTTATCCAAATCCCTTCATCAGCTTTCATATTGTCTCCCCCAGCTTTCTCAGCTTTTTAGAGATAATGAATTTAAATAAAACTTAAATCCCAAGTCAAGGTAATACTTGTATGTAAAAATGAATGTGCTGTGATTTCCCCCACCCCTTGCTTTGAATCCTTTGTTCCAGTCAGTAACATCACACTATGGAGCTAGGTCTCTTTATTTGACTTTGAGGAAAGCTAGTGAATGTTCAATTTATGCTGCCACTTGACTAGCCCTTTAGGAATTTTCTTTTTTCTCCTCAACTAATTAAACTGCCCTTATTGCCATCGCCTCTGCTGAGGGAGCCTGCTCTGCCAGCTTTCATATTCACTATTGTTTTTTCATCCATCGCACTTCCTGTTAGATTGCCTCTAACATTGTTGGGTTTTTTTTGCCTTTTGAGGTAATCTTGTAACAGCTTCCAACATGGAATTTAGCAATCATCATCTTGAAATACATGTTATTATATATCAAGTGTACCTTAACTGATGGAGTTACATTTCCATCTGAAATAAGGCAGAAGACTTGAATTCCCTGAACATCGCTAATGTTAAGTACTGCTTAGATTTAAACAGGACTTTGTGAAATTGCAAAGCAGCACTCTGTCAGCATGATCAAAAACCACCAGGGTGTTACCCTCTGAGTTGGCATTTGCTAAATGAAATGCAAGACTTCACTATTTTTTTCCCATGAGTGGTTAACAATTAATTTAAAACGTAATTCTATAGATGGTGTTGTGCAGATGCTCAGTCTTGCTAAATATCTAATAGATAAACTGGTTTTAGTTTTGTTTGTGAGAGAACAGTGTAAGCTTTCTGCAGGCATGGTTATTTTGATGGGCAGTCAGAGCTGCCGCCTGCGCGTCCTTTGAACTTATCAGACATTGCCAGTTCCTATTGTACCGTGGAGCCGTAATGTGAGTGTGGTCAGAGTTCCTCTCTGGAGAGCACAGTGCTCCCACCTCCTGTTGGGCTGTGGTTTTTTTAGGTAGTGCCACACTTCTGGGAGATCAGCATTTCAGCCAAGAGCTCTGGTGCAGGCAAGGAGTTGAGGTGAGATCCAGGAGGTGTCCCCTTGCTCACGGGAGCAGGTCACATTTTCCTCCACTGCCACTGAAACAAGGAATGGCACCATGAAGCTGAACCTGCTGCTCTTCCAGAAAATAGTACCAATAAACCCTTAATGTGATTAAACCACTGGAGTTAATTGTCTCATGGGTTTTTTTCCTAAATGCAACAGTTGAGTAGTATGAAGACCACTTGGCCTGATCATTAGTTCTTTTAATTTAAAAAATCCATTCATTTGACGTAAGATTTAAGAGTCTTAAGATCTCTGTTTTCCTTGAAATATGAAAGATGTAGTTTTTTTGTATATTCCTCATCTTATCTTTTGAGTGTCTGCTTTGTCTTCAGAATGTTATATTCAGAATAAATAACAGCAGCAGTTACCCGGGGCAACAGCTGCAGTGTATGTGTATAGAAGCACAGATGCTTCCTAAAAACTGTCTGAATATTTTAAACGACCCTTAGCATGAAAAATCTTCCAACTCGTGTAAGCTGAAAAAACTCTGATAAACTTAAGAGCCAAAGACAGACTCTTTTCAAAGGCCCAATCTCGATATTGAAAGTTTGGGTACTTCAGAACTAGACTACTTCTCTGAAAGGAAGGGTTTTATTTGCTTTCTTTTGTTTTTAGTGAGATAATTTTGACATTCAGTGGGAGTGAAACGTTTAAGAGCTTAAGATTGAAGTTGAAATTTCTGTTCGTGTGTGCGTGGGTTTTTTTAATGGGATTTCAGCTGCCTTAAAAATCTTCGTCCTACATCTCTTCAAGGGCTGGAATCGAGACCCCATAGTTTTTTCAAGTGGTTTTATCCTCCCTTAATTGGATTGTGACTTTATTTGGAAGGGGGTGGGGGGGTCACGTTTATAAAGCTCTGTTGGCATTTTATCCTGTGGACCAACACCTGGTGAAATTCTTGAAAGTAGGCTTCCAAGTTTAACTATTATTGGACAAGTCAGCTGGTAGAAGAAAACTCGGGCACTTCTAGTGCAGTGCTGCAGCAAATGTCTGTGCTCAACTGGACGCCTCAGCTGCTTTTAAATCTGCCTCAAAGCGCTTCACAAAACTGCATTCCCACAGGGTTAGGCCTTTAAAACTGTGTCTGAACAGTGATGGTGCCATTGCCCGAGTAGGAGGGGGGCTCGGGAGTTAAATCAGGATGTAAACAGCTTCTATCCATTCTCCCAACAGCAGGGAAAAATAGAAGGTTATGTGAATGAAAAGGGCAATTTGAATTACAAGCAGATTAGTCTTAAAGTTCCACTGTGGTCAGAGTAAAGGGAGCTACTTCCCCTAAAAAACAAACACAGCTTGCATCTTTGGAAGGTCAGTTTGGTCTGGTAATTAGCTATACATTATTTTTTTTTTTAACTTGTAAATAATTATTAGATGTTGAAGTGTTTTAGAAATCCTTTTCCCTAAGTTGGCAAAAACTTATTTTAAATCTATCTAATATATTTAACATATTTAGTAGATTGAAATAATATCAACTGAATATACTCCAAAAGTTATGTATGCATTGTATATTTTATGTGATTTATAGTGCCCTAGCAGAAAGGAACAGCACATAAACACTGGCTTTCAATGACCAACAAAGCCTCCTGTGATTGCTGATAACAATTTTTATTCCTTCTCTTTGCTGTCATGCTTTAGGGAATATACTAAGATTGAAGTGTTTCATGACATGCATGCAATATATTAGTGCTTCAGGAAGTGAAGATTGTTTCTGCTTCATAGTTCACTCTTCGTATTTGCAGCCCAAGTGCTACTGTGTGTGCTAATATATGAGAGCAGAACTAATACCGAACTAAACTGCAGCATGACAAATGAATATTGAAAATTCTGGCCATGACCAACCAAAAATATATATATACTGTTAAGTAATAGATTTTACCTTGCTTTTTTGTCTCAAAATTTTCAATGTCTGTTTCCATTGATTTGGGAGTTGGTCTTGATCATCTCCAGAGGTCACTTCCAAACCCCTACAATTCTGTGGTTTGTTTAAAACTTCCTTCCTTCTGGCACCACAATGAAGAAGTCTTTCCAGACAAGTAGTGAGACTTGAGTTTGTGTTGAGGAGCTAGAGAGAGCCCATACAGCACTGAAATTAGTTTGTTAACCATCAGATGTGAAAAAGTAAATGAGATAATTGTTACTGAAATTCTGCATCTTTCTTTTTTTTAAGTAATGAGTTAGTAGTACGCACACAGCAGAAGGGAGTAGTTGATCATGCTTTTTCTTGCTTTGTTTTGGTATTTTTGATTAAAACCGGTCTTATTTTAACAATTTAGCCTCACTTAGCTGTAGTTCATCTTGATGACGCATTCATTAGCTGCTGAATTTTATAGTTTTTATATATAGTTTATATCATTTTTATATGTTTTATAGTCATTTAAATGACTATAAAATACAATAAACATTTCAGCTAAAAAAGAGTATCTGTATCCAGGTTTGTGGTTGCTAGATATTCTTCTTGGATACTGTTTTGGTCTTGCTTGCTCAGCTACATTCCGTGAGGTAAAGATGTGGCACGACACTGCCGTTGTTGCTCACAGAACTGCGTCACATTGCCAGTGCAGGAGCAAAGATGAAATTCTTCAATTTGAATAACATCTGTGAGATCAGCAGCACTGGTTTGTAGAATGTTGTTATCTGATGATATTATACCATTCCTGTAGTTTGAAAGCAGGTATTCCTAGAGTGGTGGAACCTGTGTTCTGGAATTCTTACTGCATTTTCCTAATATTTATTTCCAAGGCAACCCACTGAAGGTCGATCCCGTGATGGTGGTTTACGTCTTGGAGAGATGGAACGGGATTGCCTGATAGGTTATGGAGCCAGCATGCTGTTATTGGAGAGACTGATGATTTCAAGTGATGCCTTTGAAGTGGATGTTTGTGGGCAGTGTGGCTTGCTGGGATACTCTGGCTGGTAAGTTGTCTAACTGCAGTGGTTATGACCTTTTGTAGGTCATGGTGTCCCTTCTTCACTGTGTGCATGCGGTGTCTTTCTTACATGTTCCTATTTTCAAGATAGCCCTCAACTCTAAGGTACATAAATCAACATGTTATAGAGAGAGTAAATGTGCCTCTGTGTGACAGAACTTCGCCCTTGGCCAAGAGTCCCATGACTAAGGGAAGAAAATATCAATTGTGTGTGTTCATGTTGCAAGTTACTTCAGTGCTTATTTGTTGGGGAAGACGAGGAGTTAGGGGAAGAGGATTCATTTCTAAATATTTCCTAATAACATTGGAAGTTTGTAGCATCTTGGATATCAATATCAGTTAGGAAGGGCAGGACGTTGGGCTTTATTTACTTTGGTTCTTGGAGAGTAATTTTTCTGTGATATGGGAGAAAGTAAGGCATGTTTTCAGTTTATAGGCATAGAAGTGACAGCTATCCTTTCTTGCTGTGGTCAAATCTTTCTTCAGAAGTGTGTCTGGCCAGAAAGAACTCACCGTGCTTGCTAATACCACTAGCAGTTCTGTTCCCTATGGAGCAGAAATACAGACAAAGCCTTGGTTGGTGATATCTAGTTGGACATTGCCCTACTGGCTTTTGTGCAATAAACATTTTTAAGCTCTGTATGCACTGTATGTAACAAGTGAGCCTTCTTTCTGATCCAGGTCTTTTAAAACTGCTGCAGCACAAGTAAGAGTTGAAGGCAGTTGCCTGGAAGGAAGGGCATGCATGAATTCAAACAACTGCTTCTCACTGTGTAATGCAGTGCCTTAAAAATACCCTCATGCAGATGTAGTGCAATTGAAGATTGAATTTCAGAGACTGGATTCAATGAAAGCACCTTGAAGAAATGGGAATTTAAACATTAGAGATAGTGTTAAACTTTGTTTTTAAAGGATTGCTAATCCAAATGCTTTCTGTTTTGAAGTTTGTAACATAATGAAGTTTAATAAGTTTTTAAAATAACTGAAAGAAGCTCTCAGACAGAGCGAGACATTCTTGCAGTTGAGTTCTGTGAAAAGCTGTCTGGAGTGCAGGAGTAATCAAAAAGAGATAGATTCTGCTGTGTAATACACAGCACCTACCAGTAGCCAAAGCAAGTGGCCCTATAATGAGCATCACAGAGGAGACGGTCATTAAGAGAAACTCACGTCTTCCAAACTGGCTTGGTCAGTGATTCCAGCATTAATCAGGCATTGCTGTGAGAAACCTTGTGAAACATATTGTTTGGTGGATGTCATTAAGGACAATTGTCTGCAGGAAGAGATGCTCTCCTCCCAGACAGGGACTAGCAGTTGGGTATGTCTTTCTGCAGCACACTAACAGTGCATTGATGTTGGGGCCTGGACTGGTACTTTTCATAGAAGGGGGCTGTTGTGGCAGTGACAGAATTTGTCCCCATAAAAGGTACAGGTAGAAGCTTGCTGCAACAAAACCAGCTGCATGCAGATCCTTCAGCTTTGCTGTGCTACAGAGTTATGTACTGAATTTTTCAAATGAAATTTGGTCCTTTTTTGATGATGATAAGTTATTCTTTTCCATAGAGTCTGGGCGTCTTAAAATCTTAAGATCAGCTTTGGCACTGTTGCCTTTTTCTGTTCAGTGTGGCATCAATCCTAAACTCAAATGGTCTCTTGGATACTTCACTTTCTATGATCTCTGTTGACAGTAATTTACAATTTGTGCACATTGTATCTTGTAACCTTTATGGATGATCTTTGTGCACCTACAAAACAGGCACAGGAGGGTCTAGCTTCAAGGTGTGGTGCAGTGAGTAGTTTGGACTCCTCAGCTCTTAGCTGCTGTTATCAAACACTAGATTACTGCTAATAATCAGAAACGTTGTGACTCATCAAGCTTCCAGGGCTTGCAAAGTATTGTTTTGTTTGTTTGTTTGTTCTTAGTACAATTGTTTGCTATTTATTGTCATCAAAAATTGCTTCTGTTTATGCTACTTCACCCTTCGTAAAAACACAGCTATCACTATAAATTTGGACCAAGTTAATAGTTATGAACCTGTAATTGATGCCCGTTCTGATTTGAGACATTATAAACTAGAGAAATGTAATTAAATCTTCTATACCGTTAATTGTCAAATCTTAGATGATTTTCAGGAGGGAAAAAAAAAAAGAAATACCCCAATTATGGAGCATGAGGAGGTCATTTTTTCAGAACATCTGTTGGGGATGTTCTTTTAAATATATCCATAAAAGAGAAGTAGCATAGTTAGGGAAGAGCAACTGTGAAGGAACTAATGGTGAGTTTCATAACCAAGAGCCTTGCTTAACATCAGTCAGCCTTATTAGGCCTGGCTGCAGTGACTCCCTCAGGCTCTAGATCAAGGTCACTGATAACAGAAACAAATGACTAAGCATTGGCTTTATTGCAGATGTTCGTTCTTTGTCTCATTCTGCACCACAGAAGCATGTAGCTGCTTGGAACTTTAGACTGTCTTGACTTTATGCTGAGAATATAAATATGAAACATATAAGCAGAAGGAGAGTAGGTCATTAGGGAGGTGCCGGGACACACTCTGTGTTTGCAAAGGCAAACACATCAACTTTCATCATCAACTTTCCAAAGCCAGAAGATGGAGAATACAAGAGAATGAGGAAATACAGAGGTAAGAAACAGAATAAAAAGGAAATATTCTTTCCCAGATTTTAATATCATTGTTTGAGTAAAGAGTGCGAAGACTACGTGTTAAAGCAGTTTTACCAGATCTCCATCTCTGCAAAAGATTTTGCTGTTTCTACAGAGGGACCTAAGGAGAGAGATGCTCCTTTTCAGAGCTAGGAATGTGGATTGGTTTGAGGCAACTTAGTAGGGTAACATTGTGAATAAAGGAAAAAAAAATCCCAACTAAATGTGATCTTTCGTTCTTCCTCCCTCTTTTCTGTGACTGTCTATAAAATGGCAACTGAATCATGAGTCGTGTTTCAGAAATACTTTGTTCTGTTCACCTTCTTTCTCATTATGTAATGCTGAATATTAGTTGGCAGTTATGCAAGTGGTGAAGAAGTAGAAGTCAGGCCTGTTAACTGCTAAGCACTGTGATTCTTGTCCAAGAAAAGTGCAGGTTTAACATGAAGCTCTTGTTGACGTCAGTCAGATTTATTTAAGAGCCTAAAGTTGTGACTTCCGTAAGTGCTAATGCATCTCCAGCACTCACCTCCTTCTGGGACTGAAGGCAGTATTTAAATGCAGGTGGACAAAGGAAATGGTGGATAGTGGCAACTGCTCTTTTCTGCAGAGCTTTATTTGTGCATAAACTCTGACTTTCTTTTTGCTTGTTTCCACAGGTGCCATTACTGCAAATCATCATGTCACGTGTCTTCTCTGCGGATCCCTTATGCCTGTAAACTCTTATTCCAAGAACTGCAGTCGATGAACATCATACCTAGACTAAAACTAGCTAAGTACAACGAGTGAACAAGAAAAAGAAGAGAAAAAGTACTTTGTATAAATTGAAATCCAGCGTATCTAACTGAAAGATTTTTTGGTGCACAGTAGTAACTCTACAACCTAAGTGGGCAGAAGGAGGTGCAGAGCAGTTGTAGGAAATCTTTCGTGTGTATTCTACCTGTTTTAAGTTCACAGAAGACACTTCATCAGTAACATTCACTAGTAGTTCTGAAAGCATTGATGTGTCCTAGTGAACAAGGCACGAGGGAATGGTGGAATGAAGTCATGATCCAGCAAGGCACATGTATCCTTTTCAAGGATGTAGGACCCCATACTTTGTTTTGAAAAATGTTTTGCTGGACTAAGGCATGAGCTGCCCTCAGGGCACATCCTATTCAGAGAGGTTAAAAAGACGTTTTACAGACTAGTGGAATATGAAAGGCTAATAAATGTTTTAAATAATTGTGCCCGAATCTGTGGTGCTGTATTGTGTTAAGGATGGTGAAGCCTTCTCTTAATGTCTAAAACATTTTGCTATTCCTAAAGCATGTTGTTAAAGCATTAATTAGTCAGTCTTAGAGATATGAAAGAACAGCACCTAGAGAATTTGAAATAGTCATTTTTAAGTGCAATTTTTTTTTATGAGATACAAGGTCTAAAGAGACCTAAAGCAGCAGATGAACCAAGAGTTCACTCAAAACCCTAAACTCTCCTGAGTCCTTTCTTAGGAAAGCACATTTACCTTTTTAACTGAAGTCAGGAGGAATTATGAGCATGTTTAGGTGCTTGAGAGAAATATACTGCACTAGATCAATCAGAATGCAGAACATTGACTGTGAAGGTCCTGAGGTGCCCTCTGCCTCTTCATACAGCTGAATTGTGGATGCTGATCCTGACACAACTATGCCAGTCATGTTGCTGCTGTTCTCTTAGCCACATAAGAAGCACAAATGAGTACCAGCTTGAATAGACTTCCTAAGCTGCTAACAAAATACGTAAACTAGCAATTTTGTGTCTTAGGTTACAAACAAAATCTGAAAGGGGAGATTTTATTCTCTTTTTTCTCTTTTTTTTTTTTTCAGTAGGACTGATGGCAATGTAGATCTCAGCACAGCACATTTGGACTGAAAAAGCTCTTGAAGCACCTCTACTGAGATCTGAACAGCTCTGGGTTATTTATGATGATTTATAGCAGAATGACATAAACCAAAAATTGTCATTTGCAAACTACTAGAGGAAGGGGTTAATCAACAGCCCCAACCAAATTAACAAACTTGTTTTTCTCCATGATTTCCAAACTGAGGCTCGGGTGCACCACCAGAGGGAGTGAGCCTCACAGGCTTTAGCACGTTGATGGGAGAAGTGTTGACTTGGCACAAGGAAACCACTCTTAGGATAAAGGCTATCCAGTCCTCTTTTAAGTGATCTCCTGGCTTAAGAGGTCTGAACTGCAGGATGTTATCAAGACTAAGCAATGCAAGCAATTACACCTGCAGAAATTTAAGCAGACGCAGCAGAGAAGAGTAAAGTAGCATGCTCCCATGTAACCCTGTTGAGAGTACAGATCTGTGTGCAGTCCTGAAGGGGGGACCTTGCAGCTGTTATACCTCATGCTGTTGAAAGCATGGCAATGGCTTTTGAGAAGATCTTGAGAGAGTAAAGGAAATCCTCTGTTGTAGTTTAGGAAGCCGGTTGCAATTTTAGCATTGGCTGTGTCCAGCAGAGCATAGAAACTAGACATGTCTAGGAGCAAAGGAGAGTCATCTACTATGAACTGCTTTGGTGATACTTGATCAGCTTCATTTACACATTATTGTTGTCTCGCCGAAATCTGTGAATATATAGGAGTTTATATGCCTGCAGATTTGAGCTGAAATCCCAGTTTTTACTTCTTGCCTCTCTTGAAAAGGATGCCTGTGTTCCTTCTTAAGACACTCACAAGTAAGTTCTTTGCAGTGGAATAAGCAGTATAAAGCCAGCAGCAGAAACTGAGCAGACAGCTGTGGTGAAAGAGGCAGTTCAGTGAAGGAATCCTACTGCAGACAGGGCAAATTACAACACAGAGACTAGTGGAGTAAAATATATCCTCAGAATCCCACAGCTGTCACACTGCTTTCCTCTGGTGAGCCTCATCTTTGCAATCCTTTCAATTATCTTTCAGCTGACCTCCCCTCCCCCCCCCTTTTTATACAGTGAGTTCCTTCACAAAGAGGTCTCATGCCAGCTAGGGGCTGCATTGCTGTAAGTAAACTTCCCCAGATCAGCCCTGCCACAAAAGACATTTGCTGAAAGAGATACAGTGTTCTGAACAACACGTAACAAAATCTTAAGGCATTAGCAGGAGGACTTGTGGCTAGAAAATTGCCAAAAATGTTCATTCTTTTGCAACTTCTTTATCTCTCACTAGTTAGCCTCCAGGAGAGGCTTTCTACTCCAATTGCTATTCAACTTGAAGGTCACCATCATTAGTCCCAACTGAACGGCAGGATACAGTCTGCTCCCAGAGGTGTGTGCTGCTGTGGGAAGAGCTGTCTAACTCCATCTTTAAGTTCCCATTTACTTTGCAGATGAAGGATTCAGCACTATCAAATGACAGGAGTATTTCTGGAATAGAATTCAGAAATTGTTATTTCGTTTCAAAACACAGACATTAAAAGCTACCCCTTCAAACAGCATCCATGCCTAGCTGTACTGCTCTGGTGTGAGAAGCAGAATCAAGTCAAGGAGGGGGCAGAAAAAGCACAGCTGTTTGTGGAGTTGTGGGTAAAGTGTTGTTTAGAGTTCAGAAAAACAGCCTCACTTAGTCACTTGCGTACCCTTTAAGACTTTTTCTTTCTTTCTTTCTTTTTTTTTCTAAGGTAAATGTTTCCAAACATATGAACAAGAAAACTGTAAAGAAAAATGAAACCAGACTGGCCAATTCTGGCATTCAGAGAGGTTACAATATCAAATACAGGTATACTGGGATTTAATAATTTTAAGATGTAGAAAATGAATAGGTTTTGTTTGTAATATCCATATCTTAAGAGCTTTGCTTGCAAAGAAGCTTGAGCATGCAGCAAAGAGGGCTTTGAATTCCATGGGCTCCTAGTTACATGCTGCTTAAAAAAAGAGGAGGAAAACCAACAAAAAATAGACCACAATGATGAGAAATTACCGCTGTGACATTACTTGGGGTTTCTTGCTCATAAATAGAAAACATCTGTGCTTTATAGTAATATGGGAGTAAGTTAGGAGTCTGAAGATTGTGTCGTTGTTTAGTGATAACAAATGGCAAATAAATAGTGCTGTACTTCTGCAAATTGGTTTGTAAACCCTGCTCAGAATGCACCTGTAGGGTCAGATTGTAGCAATAAATATCATTGTGCAGACCAAACCAAATAAGAAGGGCTCAAAACTTACCAGTGCTTCCGCCGTGTGAGGATCTTAGAACTAGGCTGCTTCAAGCCTGTGCACTCCCAAGCCCTGGAACAACCTACCTGAGCTCACATGCCTTGTGTAGGGCCCTGCAGGAGCAGCGCAGGCTCTCGGTTGTGCCCCAGGACCAGCAGCTCTGAGCTGTGGCATGGAGCTAGCTTGGCACTGCTGCAATGCCCCCCCAGCCAACCGCTCCCCACTTGGAGCTGAGGATTGTTTTAACAGCCCGTTGCCAGTTCAGTGGGGCCATGGGGCACTTGATGAATTCCCTCCTCCAAAGAGGACGTGACTTGCCCAGGGCCACAGAAAGACCGTGCCAGAACTGGGATCAGGACTCTGCAGTCCCCAGGTGCCAGACACGTGCTTGCCTTAAAACTGAGCACTTCATCAAACCGTAAAATCCAGCCAGATGGTGACTCTTTGCTATTATCTGGACCGGTGCTGGGAAGCTTAATGTGTGCAAGGCACAGTGAAGATCTGCATTCCAGTTTCTACGTCTAGGGCTCAGAAGCCTAGGAAATTGACCCATGTTTTAGACCTGAATGTTCCTAGAAACTTGAGCATGTTTGAACGCAAGCTCTGGCTTGAATCTGTCCTTCCCATGGAATGTTTCTACCTGCTTTTGGTGGGGAAATTCATTCTTTGGGAAGAGGTATGGAAGTGCATGAGCAGTGACTGGCTGCTTCACCAACCTTGCTCTACTTGTTGCCTGTAGACCTGATCAGTATCTCCTCCTCAGAGTAGTAATGGGTGCTGGAGTCAGCCAGTGAATCAGTTTTGCCTCTTGGCAGTCATTTAAGATCTCACCATACAGACTCACAGGACGTATGCACCATCTTTGCCACAGATGCCTATGAATGTTTATCCAGGGGAACACCAGAACTTGGTTAAACTTTCTCCAAGCTCCCATCAGAGACGATACATAATTCTTATTATTACTACTATTATTTGCAGCTGAGATTTTTAAAAAGCAGTTTATATGGCTTAATTCCTGTCTCATAAAAGTCAACAGCAATGATTCCTGTTAGCCACTCTGTGAGTGAATTTGGACCGTTGTTCCACCTTCAGAAAAATCTTTCTGAGCTTGTAAGCAGGCCATTGCTCCTTGCATCCTGCTGCTGGGAGGTGGGAGGGGGCAGGAAAGAGTAAGTATGTGTTTCTCCTAATTCCAGTTATTCTTTTACTCCCCTATTTCCTGAGGCAGGTGCCTTTGAGGTGTTTGCAAAGACCAAGTATTTTTTTCTAATAGCTTCATTTTGCATGTCTTTTATCCCCTCATCCCAGTCAGCGTATTAACAGTGTGTTGGTTCAAATGAAAAGCATCTCCCTGCTAACAGCAGCAGTGACTTTTTCCTTGCTATGAGTTTCAGGGAGCTGCTTGAGCTAAGCATATGTTTTTCAATTTCAGGCAGCGCACTCAGACTTAACATCAAAACATGATGAATAGAAAAAATAATACAAAAACTAAGGAGCAAAATAAATGAATGCACTAAACATAACTGTTTTTATTTCTTGCTAAATTGCATTCTGATAATGGAAATGGATTTATCTTTAATTCATAGTGAATTGAAAACTTAACTCTGCATTCAAGCCTCAGCCTGCCAGTCACCGGCAGGCACTGACGGCAATGCTCTGTGCTCCAGGCGGATCAAAAGAAACTCATTATCAGTCAGTCATCTAAGAGGATATGGCGGCTTCACGTCCAGTTGTTCGGCAGTCTGGAATGGATCTTTTCTGTGTCTGTTGTCTATAATAGCTTTTAGGGCTGGCTCTTCTTCCAATGCACAGTACAAATCCTCTGGTAACTAGTACCAGCCACGCACAACAAAAGCCAGCTAAATCTGGTATAAGCTCAGAAATTGATGACTCCTTGCCCTTTCCTCGTACTGAAGTCAGAAAGGGACTCCTAGGGCAGCAGCCCTAGATGCAGGAGTTCTTCTGGACTCCTACAGACACTGATGTCGCCCAGACCTGCAAGACCAGAAGAGTGAATTCCCTCCTTCTGTGCAGGTTGAAGCTGACCAGTGTGAACAAGTTGTTTTGCACGGTTTCTTTG